GTCCAGTGAAGAACACCAAATGAATAGACAGCGACAGGCACTACCTTGTTTTGATAGCTGATATGAGGATCTTTCCATTGAAAAGAGTTTTACAGAGTTTTGACACTCTTTGAACAACTTTATTTTTAATATCACACCTCATCTCTGATTCACTTGTGCTCAAAAGTTGGTGCAGGCCTAAATATTTATAGGTATCCTGTTGCCCAAGTCCTTGGATATTTGTGCCACACAACGCGATCAGTTTGTCAGGATCAAGGATTTTCCCTCTTTTCACGTGCACTGCAGCGCATTTATCAATGCCAAACTCCATACAAATAGAGTCGCTAAAGGACTTAACGAGTTCAAGCAACGAGGAAAGCTGGTTCTTATCACTGGCGTACAATTTGAGATCGTCCATGTAGATCTGATGATTAATGAGGATATGGGGATTTTTGGTGATTTCATATCCCATCCCTGAATCTCTTAACATTCTGCTGAGAGGGTTTAGAGCTAGCGAGAACCATAAGGGACTAAAACTATCTTCTTCTTCTTCTTCTTCTTCTTCTTCTTCTTATTATTATTATTATTATTATTAATATTATTATTAATATTATTATTATTATTATTATATGGTATATCGCCAATGCTTAGACCATGTGTGGCAAACCTTCACCAAGAGACAAATATTGTTTAATAATTCTTTAAATATTCTTAAGTTCTATCTATTTCATAAGGGTTCTTGAGGAAAAGTTATTTTAGCAATTTTCAAAAAATCATTTTCGTGAGAACGTGAAAAATCAATTAAGATTTTTTGTTTATTGTTGTCTAGTCACCAGATTTTACTACGCTGATGGTTGCAATTAACTCCTGGAGAAATTATAAAAACGATCATTGTTTTCATAAGCCTAAGCATGTATGTATTAATTCATTCATTTATTCTATTTAGCCCTCAGTTACTATTATGCAACCGAAGTCAGGAAGCTCAAACATATTTAGACATTTTAAGATTTGTATCAAATTCTACAATTCCGTATCCGGTTGCGAGAGAAAATGCTCGACTAACAGAGTATGGTTTGTCCTATGTAATTGTCATTGTAACGAACAGAAAATGTATTATAACGTGCGAAACAGAACCTGAAAAAACCGACAAAAAAATTGAAATCCAAAAAGACTGATTGCTGGTCACCATGTTAATGGATGTAATGTAATGACAATATTGGCTTGTCATATACTCAAGGGGGTGATGTTTTTTTATCTATAAACTTATTGTTGAGACTTTACAATTTTAAATTAGTTTACACACTATTATGCATTCTTCAAACGATTAAAAGCTATAGAATTTGAAATGTCTGCGAGATTGTTTCAATTTCACGTGCCCTAATCACGAAACCAAAATTTTTGGAGTATAACAGCAGTTTTTCCTTTTTTATACTCCCCAATAGAAAAATAGCGGTTTCATCCAAAGGACTCCTGTTGATCGGTGATAGAATATAACTATAAAGTAAAACAGAGTACACTATTACTTGACTCGTGCCTTTTCATTTCGTAATACCTTTAGGAGAATACTTTAGATGTCCTGTATTTTGGTTAAAAAATTAAGCGAACTATTGTGATAGTATAAAAAATGTGGCATGTGCATCAATAAATGTACATGGAATGAACGGATTTGGTCGTCTGTAATAAAATAATATATTACAAGATAAACATCGATTCGCTCAAATTTCAGATCTGTGTCTCGTTGATTTTGTCTTTCCTTGTCTTAATAGAGGAATATAATGTTCAAAAAAAAAAAAAAAAAAGAAATTTAATTTACGTTGAATTTAAAAAATATATATTTACCTGCTGGTTATGATACGCAATGTACGACTAGAATATGCTTTATGATGTCGAGAAGGCTTCCATGCTTTCAGTAAGGGTCTATGAAAGAGTGTTTGAAGCTTCGGTGGAATATTTCTTAATTACTTCTGGATTTTTTTGATGTACATTTTAGAAATCACCGGCAATCTTTTGAAACCCTTACTAATCTTTCTGGCAAGCTGAAAACATATTCATCACATTCTAAGCAATAGACCGTCACGCAATATTTTGGTTTCTTAATAACTTATATAGTCCTAACTTAAAATATGGGCTAATGTAATGACACATATATATACAATCGTGAATCACATAACAGTATATCCAGATTTCGTCTCTCCCTTTATTTTTTGCCAATTTGCGTTTTTACGCTATGCGAAGTTCAAGCATGTTTCACTTAATTTTAAGTATCTAGTTGTAAAATTAATTTCTGACTAACTAGTCATTTACATTGTGTTTGATTTGTTCTACAGCTCATCTGAAATACCACAATATCGTTTACCTTACGATGTGGTAGAATTTGAAGCTCAATTAGTGCGAGATTTAGGTGTGAATATAAAGACTGGTCAGGAACTGTCCACAAAAGGTCTTACGATCAAGGTAAATAAAAGCAATATACTCTTCTTTTCATCACTATACACCAAGGACAATAAAAAATAAAATGAATGAGAATTTTTTAAACTGTAGATTTAGAACAACTCTTATAAGACTTGCAACAAGAAACATCCCTCAATGACATCACCCAATGTATATTTTAATGTGATTTCTGAAGTCAGTACGTACTATTACAGTCGATTAATTTTCTATCTGCAGAGTTTACAGGACCAAGGATATGAAGCGATTTTTGTTGGAATTGGTCTGCCAGAGCCAAAAGTAATTCCTGTATTCTGTGGATTAACCAAAGAGATGGGATTTTATACATCTAAAACATTTCTTCCTGCTGTTACGAAAGGCAGTAAACCAGGTATTTATTGCTAAAAAGTATATAACTTTCATCAATTATAACTAACTTCACCATCCATATTACCTCGCCTTATACATGCCATCTATTGCTTTAAATAGTCATTAGGTAGTCAGATAGTAAAATTATTCATGCTAGGACAGCACAATCAAAATAAGAATGACCAATAGCAATGAAACTGGATGCGTTAATCGGCATCTAGACAGTCAATATTTACGTCTATATATTGCACAATAATGGATATTATACAATAATACTGACCATCTGTATATCATATTGAAAGATTGCGAAATATATTGTCAATCAAAATGAGTTCGATTATTGTGCCATCTACAAAATATTCTGTCGTCTTTGGCTAATATTGTGCTATACTGATTCACTTATAGCTACTCAGTGTTTGAGTGAACATGGTCCAGAATTGTTACGAGTACAAACAGAAACGAGATTTCCGGTATAACCATTCTCAACAGTCCACCAATATAACTATTCTCAGGAGTTCATCAAATAACTTATCATCTGGCAGCAGAAAGTTTTGAAAATCACTTGATTCACAAATTGTCAGTTTGGTTAATAAGTTTTTATGAGTGTTTTCATAAAAATCATTTTTTGAAACTATAAGTAACACAATGACCACACAACTTGTTTTCGTATTATTACACACGTTTACAGAAGAACCACTGTATGAACCATAAGTAAAGAAATCTTCGTCATGCAAGAATATCTGGCTCCGAGCGACGGATATACGATCTGTAATTTTGAATTGATCTTCCTGAAATAACAACGTTCGTTGTGACATCTTAAGGCATAATCTTCCCAACAGTTTCCGATCATTCACGCCAAAGTTGTGGACGTTGGCAAGGATTAATTACAAGTGCATCACATACGAGGATCAGTATATCAGCGTTACCAAACCACAAAAATGTTTCTGTTTGTCGGCGACTGTTTCGCAGTTTGCAAGGGGCCTTTAGGCGTCGCCGCAGTCGGAGGCGGTCGAGGCCCGTTCCGCGCCACAAGCGCTCTCTCGCGGGGCCACACCGGCCATGAGGCGCCTGCGTGCTATCCTTCTTCCACACACCGATACCTGGGAGGGAAACGCCGTAAGGAAACGTGATGGTCAGCGCCAGATCTCGCGATTTAGCTGCAAAGAGAGACCGCCACCTCCGGGAATATAGCATGCCCTACACTTACGGGACTAATGACCATGTCAGCTGACGAGGTCGAAGGCTCATAGGGAGGCCCGAGAGACCCATACGGGATGCAGTGCTACATCCGAAAAACGTCGAAAAAGCTCCTTCAAACGGCCAACCCGCCCCCGACTCATCCTCACACTTCAGAGTGTTTAGTATGTTATGCAGCAGGTTCCAACAACTCATTTGACTGGGCCATACTAGGTACAAAAGACGCCACGCTTCTTACTGCAACCTATTCATAAGCCAGTTTCGGTAGAGCGGTTGTTCGACCTCGCCTCTTGGTACACTTGCCCGCTGCCCCACCACTCCAAGTCTAAACGCGAGCATTGCTCTGCTCAAGAAATTTTCAATCTGCCGCCTCGTCTGAGAAACGAAGTAAATTTCCCGTAGACGTTCAGCCTTTGGATCAGATACCAATCGATACCCTCGCTTATATTTTTACTTGCCCGTATACATACGGAGTAACATACATAGTACAGTGAAAGTTATGTAATACTGTGGAAAATCGATCTCGAGATTTCAACGGAAATACACGTTTTGAGTTATCCTGATACCGAACAATTGTTGTTCTTTTTTTAAATCCGTCTGTGAACATTATTAGCGCCTAAACCATAGTTCGAATAGATAGCCGAGACCAAGGGAAGTAGAAATCTAATACGGGAAAGTGTGTGCCATTCTGTTTCACTACTACTTTCAAACTGCCGTGACAGTTCCACCGGGGCGATCTGCTTGGATGCCCTCCCCGTCGAGCGACTGGGCAGGGGCCTTCCGAAGGGCGGGGCAAGCGCAAGTGGCGTCGGATTGCGGACGCGCTCAATTGGGGCCCAACAGCCCTAGTGGGGAGGCTGCCATTCACAAGTGCGAGAGTTCGTCACCGACCGGGCTAGAAGCGCGACTGTGCCGCTCGTGTGAATACCTCCATTTAAACCAATGCTTTGGCAGCAGACGCCACTCGGTGGCGCCACCGTGACGCGAGAGGGCTCAGACACAGCTACCGACGGCCGCTCTCAGCGCGAAAGAGTAAGGTCGGCCGAAAGGCAGGCAGCGGGGAGTGACCGCGTCATTTACTACTACCATTTCCCATTCCAACTACCATTCCAACTGTTCTGTGCGGCGGTGGCGCGAACGCGCGTCTGCGCTGCTGGTGGGTGGGGCGCCACCTAGAGGCGTCTGGAGGGGCCTTTGGAGCGCGTTTGTATCACGCCCGTCTCCGTTCGCCGAAACGTTTCCATGGCCCTATAATACACAATAGGAAGACCGAGTGCTGCTACAGTATAGTATGTATCAATAATAGGGAAATGGTATGTATCTATAAAAGGGAATTCAAACAACAATTCAAAAAATAAAAAATCCATATTTAATATTTTCTCATATTTTAAAGTAAATTGTTGTGATTAAATTATTTAAAACATTCTTAATATAATTACTTTTAGAAACTTAAATAATGTTCACATGGTTGTTGACAACCAGTTTGACAAGAAGTAGATTTCTATGAAAACCCAAGTAAAACAAAAATTGATACAATAAAATGGATCGCTGCAATTAAACACTTGAAAGAAGCCGGGTTACCACAACGGGAAATTCACAATAGAAGGGTTTATAGACAGAAAATTTGTGACTGGAGGTTTGGCCAAGAGGAAAAAAACAACAAAAAAACTAGAACATCTTGGTCAGAGGAAAGGAAAAGACAACACTCTTGAGATAATGAAGAAGATATGGACACAAAAGAAGATTACGAAGCGCTGAATGGCTTCTATATTGTACTTCGCGTTGTACGATAAGGCCCATATGTTAATAATAATAATAATAATAATAATAATAATAATAATAATAATAATATAATGTTCACATGTCCATATAACAATAGTACAATAATAAATGTACATATAATTGTAGAAATAAAATATAATGAAGGGATGTTTTGTTCGAAATACGGGTCCTCGTTGATCCTGGCCTCTTGTGATATCTGGGTGCTCCTGTACTTAATTATCGTTTGCACTATTTACTTTTCCATACGAATATAAGTGATTCATCTTCCATGATTTACTATCAAATGTTTAAAATTTGAGGATTTCATAACGCCAGAGATACCGGTGTTTTGCAGGCATGTGTGCTTGTCGCAGCGGCCAGCTGCCCCAACTGCGCGGCACCGTCGTCGTGCTCGGGGCGGGCGACACCGCCTTCGACTGTGCCACGTCCGCGCTGCGCTGCGGAGCGACCAAAGTGGTCGTCGTGTTCAGGCGAGGATTCCGCAACATTCGAGCAGTTCCGGAAGAGGTACGGTGTCGTTCAGGCCGTGGTCAACCGCGCACTGCCCGGCCCGACACACCATTTTTACAGTACAAATATTGAAAATTTTATCTCTGCCTGTATGAATACGAAACATATTTAGTATAGACGTGAATAGTGTTCCTGAAAATCTGTAAATGGAGTTCATTGAGTTACAGCGCAACAATGAAATAAAATATATTTTCCAGCGACAATTAATTTTCTAGAATACTTATATTACATTCAAGAAATATTCCAACTCATATTTCTATAACCAACAGAAATAGTTTGTACGGGTTGTAAGTGCTTCTGAATGAACATGTGTTTGTGAAACATTTTTCTCGAAAATAAAATTTTAAAGAACATGCATCATTAACTGATAACACTTCAGAAAATGAGCTCAGTTGTGCAACGACTTACATAAATATAGATTTTGAAAAATTAAGTTAAATGATAAACATCTCCTTAATAACGATTCGACAGTTAATTCCACTCAAATATATCATAACAATAATTATAACCTGTTTAAATTTTTATTGCATTTTTAAAAAGCATTTTTACCTTCAGCGCGGTCCCACGGTACGGTATGCTTCATCAAAGTAACCCGTGAAACTATTTGGCTTGGTCTGTGTTATAATCTTTGAAACAGTGACATCATTTCGAAGGTACCTTAATACATTCTAAATTTTACTTCTAGGTGGAATTGGCTAAAGAAGAAAAATGTGAATTTATGCCTTTCCTGTCTCCTAAGAAAGTGATTGTGAAAGCCAACAAAATAACTGCAATTCAATTTTGCCGCAATGAACAACAAGATGACGGAACTTGGGTGGAAGATGAAGAACAAGTGATTACTCTGAAAGCAAGTTTTATTATATCTGCATTCGGCTCCGGTTTATTCGACAAAAACGGTAAGAACAAATTCATTTAATATTCAATGGTTGAGAAACTCTGAAATCCAACGTGCGAAGAAGACGTCCCTCAAAAGGTAACTGACAAAGTAAATAAACACAGAAAGAAATGAGTAAATACATACAACAAATAAATAACCAATGGAACACATATCCAGAAATTTAGATCCAACCTTTGTGGATTGTGCGGCTCATTGTATGTTTTCGTTGATCGTAATGCTGATGTCATATATATATATATATATATATATATATATATATATATATATATATATATATATATATATACCGCAAATCAGGTCACAAAGAACCACGATGTGATATATTTTTCATTCCGACTTTTAATTTCTCGTTATCATGCCATATAGTAGTAAACTTATAAAAATGGTACAGGACTGATTTTCATTAAAATCTGTGAAATTTCGAAAATTGGAAAAGTTTAAAATTCGTTGTATCCCCTATTTATAGTGAAGCATTTAAGATAATATGAAGGAATTGGATTTGTATTATTTGCAAGTTCTTTAGTTGGTTTTTGTTGCATTTAACAATATTGGGCAGGCGTGTATCCCAGACTGGGCAAGGGTATATTTTTAATGTTGGAATAAGGGACAGGATCCGTGTATTAATGGCTTTAGTTGAATAACCTCGGTGGTTTAGCTTGATTCTGGCTTGAGCACTTTGGCGTCTATATATTGCTTCGGATTGAGTTTGTTGTCTCTGTTCCTTGCTAGGTATCTGCCTGGTTTATTGGTTAATTGTTTTGTTGTGTAGCGGCGGTGAGTGTCGCCGGTGTGTGAAGATCGTGGCTGCCGTTTTGCTTGGATTAAGTCGCATTTTGAATTTTTAAGCCCAGCTTTAGGCAAGTCTATTAGGTTAAAAATAATTGTATTTTGTTGCTGCAGTCTTTGAGTGAAGGAGGGGAGTTAAAAGATGTGCTTGGGTGCGAGACATGTGGCGAACTTGCTAAGAGTAGTTACAGTTTAAATGGTAGTTGTTTACAGTTACTGTGTAAGTTCTATTGCATATTAAACTTTATATGATCGTTTGGATATAATGCGATTTTCTTGATGCCACGTCCGACCAAATACCTGTGTTGTGTCGATGAAAGCTGCTACTGCGTGTTCTTTAAGGAAATGGAAAGGTGTTCGGTAATGCCGAGAAGGTCGTGAAATGCGGAAGGCTTTTCGGTGAATCCAAATTGTTTCTTAGGAATCACTTTAGTAACCTTGTAAGTGTTCTGTAAGCCTTTTGAGAATGTAAGGGCTCAGTAGAACAGGGGGTATCCCACATTGACTTAAACTTCAATTTTTTTTAAGCCTCTCAAGGTCACGTGCGAAAAAGGGAGAGGAGCTGCGAAGTCTTGTCGTTTTTTGCGTCCTCTTTTTCGAGTTGTCATCTAGTGGCTCAGAGCACAGTCGGTCACCTTTCACCAAGGAAGTCGAGTTCGATATCCGTCGAATCTCGGACAATCTCGTGTTAAATGTTTTCCAACAAAACCAGTTCGATTGCTTCACAAGGGCTAGTACAACCCCTGTGAAGTGCCCTAATCCCTACCCCTATCCCAATTCTGACCACTGAGTAGTGACACAGGGGCGCGTAGTAGGAGATCCGTACGTGGAGAAGATACCTGGCGGTCCTCTTGACAACCGACTGCGACGAGACGTGACGGTTACAACGTAATAATGAATCGAGGATTACTCCTAAATCGCAAAGCGCTCAATGCCCCTCAAGGACTTGGAGACGCGTGTGTCAATTAAACACGTAACACTTCGAAGAAAAAATCTGGGGATTGTGCAACCATCCAACCTAGCCGCCACTGACTTGATACGTCAGATACAGTTTTTGACTAACATAAATCAAATAAAAATTTAAATATATAATTTCAATAATTTTATTATCTTTCAGTAATAAATGCTCTATCTCCTGTAAAGTTCAACAAATATGGTTTGCCAGACGTGAATCCTGAGACAATGGAGTGTAGTGTACCTGGTGTTTTTTGTGGAGGAGATGTGGCTGGAGTTTCAGAAACAACTGTTGAGTCAGTCAATGATGGAAAAATAGCGGCATGGTCAATTCACAAATATATCCAAGTAAGTATAAATATACAAATATGTAAAAGAGTTCAAAATGAAATAAAATTAAATCTTAAAATGTAATTAAATTATTAATCAATATTCTTTCATTTATTGCCAGCTCTGAGAAAAACAGGAAATAATTCCTGTTTTTTTCTCCACATTTTTTTCCATTCATTTACGAACGTTCATTTCTGTAATCTTCCATAAGTTCTGTATGAGGGAATATGATTGGAGAATTCAGACGTTTTATTGGTTGTAGTATTTTAAATAAACTGTTGTCAATTTAAAAAAATTAAATTATCTTATTGTGATAATTGTAATTAGTATTTTCCCCTTAAATATTTTTTTAAAAACAGTATTATAAAGTTCAACCACCGAACAATGAGCATATAGATTTTCATCACCAATTTAATAAGAGCTTCCAATTACTTTGAAATGTCTAATGTGTCTTCAAATTTCTCATGAAAAATAATTAAAAATAGAAATAAAAGTTTCAAACATAATGCTAATTGATTTTCCAGAATAAACACGGAAAAGAGGTGCCATTAAAACCTCAGTTGCCAGTATTCCACACTGCTATTGATGACGTGGATATCAGTGTTGAAATGTGTGGAATCAAGTTTTGTAACCCCTTCGGACTCGCCTCTGCCCCTCCAGCCACGACAAGTGCAATGATACGGAGAGCTTTCGAAGCGGGCTGGGCTTTTGCTGTTACAAAAACATTTTCTCTTGACAAGGTAATATTTTAATTGGGATAATATTTTGATTGCCTGCGTTTCTTGTATATTCTTACCGTCTTAGGTGGCTCAGGGCATCGATTCATATCACTCCAGTGTCTCTGACCAGCAGGTCCTAATGTTCAAGTACTGATGGTGGCAGGAATTTCGACACAACGGGCCACGGTCCGTGCGCGCTCATTCTTTCCTCTTCCTTTTTGTAACCTTACCCTTTACTTGCACATACATACACTACAATACCACACATGCCGGGGGACCAATCGGGAACTTGTCGTGGATGTGGCGGCGCCCCGCTGGTGGGAGACATTTAGATGAGGAAAAATCCTACATGCCGACGGTTAGGTCAGCGATCTAGGGAGGCAAGAATACCACCACCACCTTTACTGGACAAAAGCGTGCACTACACTTACGGGACTATGTTTGTGCGCAACACTAACGAATAAACCGTTCAACCGATTTCCCCCAAAATCGATATTCCTCAACCGTTCTAGCTGATGTCGCGGACCCAGGAATTTGAAACCGATTTGACATTTTATGCAAAATCATGCTGAAACTACTCATATTATCGAAAAAATGTACATGGTCTTATTTCAAGGTCTGTCTTCGAACAACAGATTTTACTAAGGCAAAAATATGTAATATCTTCAATACTGTAGTTGTAAGAAGGCGCTGAAAAAATTGAACTCTTCCAATTTCAAAAAATCACGAATTTCAACGAAAATGAGGCCATTCTTTTTATCGATTTTCACGCCATTTGGGGAAAAGTTTTAAAAAAAATTCGAGGCATTTTTTACAAAATCCCAAAATTAAAGTATCAGTTTGAATCTCGCAAGGGAATGTGAGCGGCCGAGGTCAGGCGGCGGCAACGAGCGGAGCCCCTGGAGCGCCTTGCTGGGAGGAACGACGCACCTGGGGAGGGGGGGGAGCTGCGAATTGAGTGCAGCAAACGCATTGGTATTTCAGAGAGCCTTTTTCTTCATTTTACAAGCTGTTTACAACTTACTTAGCAAATTATTTAGCTTTGTGTAGACAAACGTTAAAATTTCATTAGTTATTCAAGCATTGCTTAATTTTGAAACTTGTTCTCGGCAGACAAGACAGTAAAAAGGCAAAATAATTTATACCATTTTTTCCATCCAAAATAAATGTTCCATTGGTTCATACCCCACGCATCTACGGCAAATATTGTTCTTTATATTTAGTATTTTTAACGAATTTAGTATTTTTAACGTATTAGTATTTTTAACGAATTTATGCTTCGTACTTTTTAAAGAAGAACCCTTCACAATATTTCTACAAATTATAGACCCTATTACTAATTCCAATAAAATTTCTTTTTACACTAAAAATTTTCGAAAGTTCTTGAAGTACCAATCAAGTGTTTGCATAAAGAGTTCATAAAAAGTGAATTCTGCGTTCCCTCTTCGACTCACACTCACTTCTGCTGGGAGGCTCCAGGGTTCGAGTCCCGGCGAGGGTGCTAGCGTTGACACAGACGGACAGAACAGAACAGCGTATTGCCAAAAATCGACTTGTCGGTAGCGAGGACCCACAAAACTAGATTGGATTCTGAGTACACAATGTGCTAGAGGACGTCATGTACTACACATGCAAACACGATTTATCCCGTTTTTTGATACCAGGGCTCGACAGTAAGAGTTTTTCGTCGAAAATTGGCCGTTTGCCGCCGCACAATGACAATACTTTCTCTTCTCACGAACTAAGGTCAGAAAGAACTAGAGAGGCAGGTTGACAGCGTAGCTCTGAGCGGTGGGACAGCGAAGCAGCAGGTGCGTGGGAACGCTCCAAGGCCATCCATTCCCCAAATTCGTTTTCGTCATATTCGGCGGTCGTCTTTCACGAGTCGCTTCCATGACAGCTCAAACCTGTGTTCAACTGTTTCAAAGTCATGATAGCATAACACGAATTCTCATCAAAATAAACTCCATTTCTTGATGTTGTAATATCTGTGCAAGATTAACGTCAGAATGATAACAATCGCCGAATGATAACAATAATCGTGATTACATTAAGCGACATCTACTGTCATTGTTTTGTTTTTGAAAATAAAATAAAAATTAAAGTGTCAATCACATAGAAAATAAAAATACAAATTTAAAGGGCATAATCCTATATTGCAGCAATTTCCAACGTACTGATTTATTACACTTCTTACTTCACAAACTTATTTTTAATATGTGAAACTAACATTCAAAAAATCAATTTTTAATTTTGGATTTTATTTCAAAGGATTTGGTAACAAATGTTTCACCCCGGATTGTAAAAGGTACCACATCACGTCATCATTATGGACCAGAACAATCATCCTTTTTAAACATTGAGCTGATATCCGAAAAGTCAGCTGCTTACTGGTGTCAGAGTGTTAAAGAACTTAAAACTGACTTTCCTGATAAGGTAGAAAACCTTTGTGTATCAAATATGTTCACTATCTTGCATTGATTTAAAGTTGATCCGCCAGTTTCATATCCTGTTGTTTGTTTACAGATTGTAATTGCCAGCATTATGTGTGCGTATGACAAAGAAGACTGGACAACACTCAGCCAAATGGCTGAAGCCTCTGGTGCAGATGCCCTGGAACTGAATCTTTCCTGCCCACATGGCATGGGCGAATCAGGCATGGGACTGGCATGTGGACAGGTACTGGCGTTAATTAATTGTCATTGAAAGTAATCGTCTTTAAACATTTTGACAATGAAAATGAAACATTTACATCCAATATTCCAACAATGCTTGTTTAGCAAAGAGCCAGGGTGGGAAGTGTCAAGGGGATACCGGGGCACAGGGAATGTTATTGTCCCTGCCGAAAGAGTTTGATGTCCCCTGCTGAAAAACACAACGAACTATATTACTAACACTATATCTAGGTGACTCATAAATGATCCCCCTAGACATAAGTTACTTCATAAATAATTTTCACACTGAAATGTTCAAATTAAGGAATCCAAATCAAAACGTTTCCAAGAGCCATCTTGATATTATTAATACCATCCTACGTATGCGAGCACGGAATTTTAAACGCTCTCCTCTGGAGAAAGTTACAAGTTTGTACTCTGCCACAAAGTATTCAAAACATTTTAGTATCATTAAGCACAGTGTACCCTCTTCGTCCGTGCATCCCTCCATGCGTCCAATTTCCTATCCCTCCCTCAAATTATCTTCTATTTATTTTCAAAAGACATTAATCCTGTATCCAGAGAAGTGTACACAGTGGGAGAGTTCGCAAGAGACCGTGACCCACTGAAAATTTTGACAGGGGCTCCATATTTTATAAATAATATTTTATTTCCGTATATATGATAAATCCCTGATAAAAACGACGTATATACCCATTTTAAAATTTAGAGATATGACAAACGAATGAACACACTAGTATATCCGTGTTAGAGTCAGATTTCACATGTATTCCGTATAAGCAACTTCCGAATAAATATAAACATCACAATTTCAAAACCAACCTGTTCGTTTTGGTCCGAAAGGAAACAAATGGTGGAAAAATACTTTGATCTTATTTGAATCCAAGAAATTTCTATGAAATCAAGACACGAAAGTTACAATCACCTGCGTTTGAGAACTCATCTCAAATATTACAGGGATTAAAGTTAACGATTCAGATGGTACTACAGACAGCAAACAGGTTACAAAATCATATCAGAGATCAGAGACGATTGAAGAAATGGAAGAAACAGTTAAAGACCACTCGTTATTGTCCTTGTACGCACGAGTTGCAGCACGCACACACGTTATTGTGCCTGCCAAAGAATGTCGTATTTGGTGCTACAGACTTAATGTAGTAGCAATATAGCAACGCGCTAGCTAATTTTCTGTAAGAAGGAAGATTTAGCTTACAAAAATGTTTTAACTCTTTTTATTACCCACATATGTGAAAGACGTTATTCAACACGGAGTTTATAAAAATATTTTTTTTTTATTTTCTTGCACCTTCGAAACACGTCTCTCAGCCCTTGTTGGGCATTGAGCGTAAGTTGAGTAATACTCCTTTATGTTTTTGACTTTTTGTCTTCGCACGTCACAGTGAGTCAATGCCTTTTATCCTGTCGGCTAGGGACTCTGTGCCTTAAGAACCCGGGGTTTCAAGACAGTAACCCGACCAGGAATCCGTGGAGTCTTGATTTGTTTAACTTCGGTGTCTTCACGGAATGTAGTTAAACAATGCGGCGAGCGACACCGGCGCGCGCGGCCTTCGCAGCAGCCGGGCGGTCCAGGGCTCTCCCGCATTGACAGACGGGAGCTGTCGTTGCTCTTAACTTTCCTGAAGGAAACATCCGGAACATGCTGATTTCCCCTTTGAAGTAATCTCGACGAATTGATGCGGTTCTCTCTTCAAAAGATGTGCCAAGAATGCATTCGAACCAAAGGACACCACTGTCTTCATCCTATTTAAGGTGCGTTAAACGTAGCAATAGTTTCCGTGTGTCAGCACGGGAGTTGAGTCAGCGCTTTGCTGGGCGAGCGAGACATCCCCCCACGCGACACAGCCCGAATCTTTGGCGAATGATAAAATGTACACCCGGAACAATCATCTTGATGTCCTTCATGTTCATGGTAGCAGAAAAAGGAATTCAAGAAGATCTTGATGTTGACCGATCATTTATAGAGGAGAAAAACGTAAGCAAAATTAAAAAAATGATTATAACATGAAAGAGATTTTTATGCCAAAAAGACAAGGTACCTAAAACCAAATGTTAGCGTATTGACTTAAATTATATTTGTACTTGAAAATTATTTCAAAATATCCATTTTTGTCGTCACAGACTTCTTACAACAAAGATTAAACAATTAAATTGTTTGCAATCATTTAATTTCGACTCAATTTGATTTTATTACAAAAGGGACCGGGTTTACTGAAATTCCAGTGCCGAATTTCACCCCACTACGGCTATCAAACTACACTGAAAGGAACATGGCGTCTCTGACCGCTTAGGGATTTAGTACTTAGGGATTTTCTTGTTTTGGCCCCCTTATCCTCACCATGAACTTAGCGATCATTCCTGATAAACCTGTATTTACACATGCATATCGTATTTCAAATAACTCAGTAACTTTAATTTGGATGTTATGAGTGCTGAGTTTCTGGGGGAAACCTCGGAATCGTGTACCTTCATCAATGTAAATGTTCAGAATAAAAAATGTATGCATGTACTTTGGCACAACAGCTCTTTACGAGCTAAGGCCTAGCCATCCCTACACTGTATTCCAGGTATTCTCAACCTGAGAGGTGAGCAATCTCATCGTCACACAGCAACAGATACTGGGACATTACGAGGAAAGCGCACAATTAATTTTCGTCCCGACCGGGAATCGAACCCGGGATTACACCGTAGAAAGCGAGCTCGGTAATCAACAAGCCAGCGAGAGCAGAATAAAAAAAGTTTTTTGAAATGGTAGAAAATTCAAATATCAATGACATTATCAAAAAAGATAAATAATATTATTTCGATTACATCTTGGGTAATGCATTTACAAAGTACTTATTTAATATTAATTCCGGTTACGATATATGATATAAATTACTTTTTTACTTCAAGATACAACATATAATTCGGTTATGTTATCATTCTTACGGTTAAGCTTTGAATATGTTCCATACTGACAGCAGGTTAGTCAGAGAGTATCACTTAACTATTTTTAGAAAATCAGGTCTGGATATTGTATTACTGACATTGAAATAATATATTTGAAGAGCTTAATATCTTTGAATAGGAAACATGTAAAGAAAGAAATCTGTAAACTTTGTAATCATAATGTGGGATTACCTGAATCAAAAATTGCTTGAATTATTATATACTGTTTCAGAAACCTCAATTGGTTCGAGATATATCGAAATGGGTGCGTGCAGCAATAAAAATCCCATTTTTCATTAAACTCACTCCAAATATCACAGATGTTGTAACTATAGCCCAGGCAGCATACGAAGGTATGTATTAAATTTAGTAAAGAATGGAAGTTAATCAGAAAAGGAGAGTTTTCATAAGTAGCACATTATAATTGAATTAAACAGTTTTAATATTAGATATAAAAATTGAAAAGAAAACACGAAAAGGAATGAGTTATGAAATCCGATTAATGTTTCTACTAATGTAGCGGCCAGCTCCAACGGGCGCGGGGCACCTTCCAGGGGGTTGGGCTTTGGACAGCGTTCATTCTCTCCGTCCGCAAACGGCGCGTTCGCCGTTTGGAACACATTGCCCCTCCCAACTGCTTCACGTATAGGCTCGGGTTAATCCGACGTTCGACAGCTAGTGTTCCCAGGTCTGAGCCCTCATTTTATTTTTTATCCACACCTGAGGGTTAAGGAGAGTTTATTTCGCCCGTTTGAGCTTTCTTCGTCACCCACCTAGATACCTACACGATTTGTATTTGAAAACTACTTCTTTTTTGCCTCTGTCGGAAATTGAACCCGCGACACCTCACAGAAAACGAGTAAGCTTTCCATGAGCCACCTCTGAAGCACTTCTAAATTATTATTATTATTATTATTATTATTATTATTATTATTATTATTATTATTATTATTATTATTATTATTATGAGACAGTTGAATATAAAACCCACTCCAGTTTGCAACCAACTACCTAAGGAGCAGATCTAGGGGCTGTCGGTGCCTCTACAATACTTGGCGCAAAATGTGGGCTGTTCCAAATAAAGCAATGTCTTGTACTTCCCAGTCCTTTGAATGACCTGTGAGTTTAGCCAAGTTCTTACACAAATTTCGCGGAACAAATCCAAGAGCTCCGATGACTATCTGCACGGCCTGTGCTTTTACGCCCCACATTCGACTGATCTCGATATTTAAACTCTTATTAAAGACGTTTCTCTGCCTACTTGGTTATGATGGTTTGACCGCAAGGCACAGCAACATCTACAAACAATTTGATTGTTTGATTTTGATGGTCGTACGATATTGTACAGAGTCCAACTGATGTCACCGGTTTTGGTGAGCGTACAACGTGGGGCATGTGTTTGGAACTTCGAGGGCGGTACAGATCGGCCAGTGGAGGGAACTACACACTCTGTCGTGTCTTTTCAAGTATTCGGTCTTTCCAAGAATTGGACACGCTGAGCCGATATGATCAATGGTTTCTACTTGTTCCTTGCAGATGCGGCATTTATAATCTTGGGAACCGCTTTATCAAAATGGCGTGTCCTCAACAGCTATGAGAAATGCTTCCGATTCTGGCTTCATTCTTCCCCTTTTAAGCCACATAAATGATTGATCTTTATTGATCTGCACCTTGTTCATTCTTTTTAGATATCATCCATGGGGTGGTTTGTCTCTCCATGATTTCTTTAATAATCGTCGTCTCTATTATTATTATTATTATTATTATTATTATTATTATTATTATTATTATTATTACACATTAAATGATATACATGTTGGCGAATATGACAATGCAAAAGAGGACCTATATTTAAAATTACTCCAAAATCTATAAGATGAAATTCTATGGATAGAATAGGGACATGAAATACGAAGAAGAACAAGGAGTTTGCAGACGCAAACAATTACTAGGGTAGCAACAATCAATATCCGCACAAATAAATCAGTCTTCATTTCATGAAATGCAGTTCAATAATGATGATGATGATGATGATGATGATAATAATAATAATAATAATAATAATAATAATAATAATAATAATAATAATAATAATAATAATAATCTATTGTCATATACAATTACAATCGTGCATGACGAGCCAATATAATGTCTTGGGTGTAGAGAGGTGTAGAGAACGAATTTAGATTACTGTTCAGAAGCAAAACAAAAGGGCCATCTCAGCATTTGATCAAGGGATCAGGGAAACTGAACAAAAACCCTGATCAATATGGGGCTATTGGCCTAGGAATTATACAATACTTGCTACAGATAGGTTAAGATATTATGCAGTAGATAATTATTTTTAGTAGCAAATAATATAGCATTTCAATATTTGTACAGTTTCATGCTTAAAGTAAAAGTCAAATTTACTTGTTATAGTCATATTACTGCTACTACTTATAATATTAATACTAATACTAATACGATACTATTGCTATTACTACTACTACTACTACTACTACTACTACTACTACTACTACTACTACTACTACTAATAATAATAATAATAATAATAATAATAGTAGTAGTACTAGTAATAATAACTAGTATAATAGTAATATTAATTATGGTAGCAACTAAATATAATTTAACAATTGTAGTACATTATATGTTTAAATTTTGAAATGGTGAGGAAGAGGCAGGTTTTACCCATTTTTTTCTATTTGTACACCTAGTCCTACTGTAGTACCTAATGCATCTAGAAAATCCAGGGTGAAGGAAATAGAACTGGTTCTATTTCCTTCACCCTGCATAGCATTCTTCTTCTACATCGCAGGTGACGTTATGCCAGTTCTTTATTCTTTGCTTCAGCTAGAAACAGCCTATGACACCTAGACCAAACAGAATTCATGACGAATAGTATCAGTCTTTAATGCTTGCCTTGTATCTATTCAATAAATGCACCGTCATTTTGTTACTGTACAGGTGGGGCTTCGGGAGTTTCTGCCATAAACACTATAAGCGGTCTCATGGGTTTAAAAGCTGATGGATCTCCATGGCCAGCTGTTGGTCAAGAAAAGAAAACAACTTACGGTGGAGTTTCTGGTAATGCAACAAGACCAATGGCACTACGTGCTGTATCTGCTATATCAAAATCTCTCCCTGGTTTTCCAATAATGGGAATTGGAGGCGTTGATTCAGCAGACGTTGGCCTACAGTTTCTTCGGTGTGGAGCTTCTGTGCTACAGGTTGCTACATACATAATATTTCATTTTCACACATACACCTCGTAAAAGAGGTTTTCTGTGAGTTTTGTATGTATGAATTCAATTTTTATTAAGGTTGGAAGTGCAATTCAAAATCAAGATTTTACCCTTATTGATGACTACACGACAGGTCTCAAGGCTCTGTTGTACCTACAGAGCGTGGGCCTAGAAAATTGGGATGGGCAGTCACCCCCTATTACCAAACATCAGAAAGGAAAACCAGTGATCTCCCTCAAGGATGATCTTGGCAAGGTAAATTAAATTGGAACTGTTAGAGGAAAATGTATTTGGAAACTGGAACATGTTGAATACACGCTTCCATTGCAGACTCTACCTCATTTTGGAAAATACCAGAATATCCGAGAAGAGAAAATTGCTGAAATAAAGAAAGCTTCTGTTATGCATAATAATGGAATATCTACTGTACGCCCTGTTCAAATTTCCAAAAATGTCATGAAAATAAATGATGTGATTGGCTCAGCTATCTCTAGAATTGGTGCATACAAAGCTTTAAACAACCAACAACAAGTTGTGGCTCTCATCGATGACGTAAGTGTAATAATTGTTTATTACATATCATTAATAATTACTTCAGTGTTTTCTAATATCAACGATCACGCTAAATCTGCTGACAACAGCATATTAAGTTAAGGTTATAATCAAATTATACAGTACCCAGATGACATAATACAGTAAAATCTGTGTAAGGCGGATTCGGTCGGGACAAAAAATATTCCGGTTTAGGGAGGTTTCCGTTTTATACAGGGGTCTATTTTATGACACTCTTTATATTGATATTTCCATCCCGAAACTAGTAAAGTACTTAACTTTATTATAATTATATAAGTATATTAACATATTTATGGAAGAAGTCACCAATAAATTAATATTAAACATTTCTGACAATTGAAAGGAAATTCTTCACAACTTGTGCACTAACATTTTTTTCACCATTCATTTACAGATTTTTGCTTTTTGGTTTGCCACTTACAAATACCTCTTCTTTTATGTTTCCTGACGTAGAAAAACTGTAATGTTTAGTTTTATGTTGTGAAACATAAAAAGTTGTGAAACATAAAAATACACCGTGGCGGCAGCCAAAGTGCTCGTCATCTTTTCAAAGCACAGAACACTTTTCAAAGCATCACAGCCCAGAGTACTATGAAAGCCCTATGTCCTCCTGATACCCTTGCATGGTCTTGACCAATATGGTTCTAACCAAGGGGTTACGATTTTCATCGTGGCGCCGAGAGATGTGAGAACGAAAGTCATGCCAGTACAAATTCTCACGGGAGAGAGCCCCGGTGAGAGCCGGGAGGGAGGAAATTCCCTTCCCGCGTACACCTTGAGAGACAAGCGTCACAGTGGTCAAATTATACGCAGACAGCTGGAGCTCCTCACCTTCTCTGTCTGGCTGCCACAACTGAAACGCATTTCCCAAGGACAGATAAATTAAAACAGACTTGCAGAGTCATTTATTGCATTAAAATGTTCTCGCGTGTCTGCCAATTGCATTAAATTCACAGAAATCCCGTTTTATAAGGTTTTCTTTCGGTGCAGAGCACCCGTCCGTTTCCGCGTTGGACAGGTTCCGTTTTATGCTGTGTAAAATGCCATTTAACTTCATTAGGCTTAAAGCAGGTTTCCGGCTTTTACAGGTTCCAGTTTAGACAGATTTGACTGAACAAAACCCACTACGCCTACTACTCTCCGGGCCCTCCCGAGAATATACTCTCTGCTCCTGAGCCGGAAGTCCCGATTCTTATGTTCTGGTCTGCACTTGGAGATGGCCTTTGGCTGGCAATAACACGATCAGATTGTTGATATCTTCGAAAACGAACACCGAACGATAGTGCACGAAACGAGGACAGTTTCTATCGGTGTGTCCTCGAAAAGAGTTATCGCCATTAAAAAATACGAATTTGGCGTAGGTGACGACGTTTCGGTCGCCATTCTGCGACCTTCCTCAGGGCGTAAAGCGCGGAGTTTTTTCTTCGGCGTCGCTTGGTTTGGTTCTTCGTTTGGTGTTCGATCGTATCATGATCGTGTTGATCAGAGGATACTTGATCGTATTTGCAGTGCACACGCCTTTTGCGTTTTACTGCTAGGTGTAATTAGTGTGTGTAGGTTCGCGACGGACCTTAATGTTTGCCAGTTTGGCGATTTGTTTAGTCATATTTGTGACTATGTCATTTTAGAGTGTGTTTCGCTCTATGTCCTTAGTATGTCTGAGAGGAGAGCTTGTTGTCTATGCCCAATGGTAAGGACATGTCTCTAGCGTAGCCGGAGCTTCGTCTGATTGAAAGGCTTTGTAGGCTTCACTGAATGATAGCCGTCTCAAGCATTGAATGAATGACTATATCAAGTTCCTTCCTCAGAACTTTCACTCGTTTTTGAAACGCTGGGCGAGCTATGAGTCTCAGAACTCTATTCTGAATTAACTCAAGTGTGTCCTTGTACTTCTGTGCTGTGGTCCACCACGTCGCCGCGGCGTAGGTGGCCACAGGCCGGCAGAACGTTTTATAGAGTGCCAGGCGAAGAGCCAAGGGGAGAGAAGGTTCCTTTAGGAGTGGTTTTAGGAGACGGACCCTTAGGTGAAGTTTCGATCGGATTCGCCTGACATGTAAGCGCCAGCGCATGCTCCGGTCGAAAGTGACACCCAGGTAAGTTGCCTTAAGCGCCCATTGAGTTTTTGCGTTTCGATTTTGATTTGCTTGGGCGGCGTGAACCGCTTTGTGTGTTTGTGTTTGAGGCGAGTGAGGCAGATTGCCTGAGACTTTTCCGCTGAGAAAGTCAAGTGGTTTTCTTGTGCCCACTTCAGAGTCAGGTTCATCTGCTTTTGTAGTGTTTTCAGTTAATGATTCAGGTTCATTCCTCTTGCTAGGACTGCTATGTTGTCAGCATACAGGAATAGCCAAATCCGTGGTATCTGTGGTGTGTTATTGACATATAGCGAGAACAGTAGCGGGGAGAGCACGGAGCCTTGGGGGACTCCGGCAAAAATCCCGCGCTTTGAGGATCTCGCTTTTTCCGCTTTGACCACGAAGGTGAGGTTTGTGAGAAAGGATGCAATCATATCCGTTACATGTTTAAGGGAGGCTTCGTCTTAGCTTGGAAAGAAGTGTATTGTGTGGCACATTGTCGAGACATCCTGTGAGAGTATGAGGTCAGCGGAGATCTGCTGGGCCATACATAGTGCCTGCAGTGAGGCTGAATGTCCCGGTCGGAAGGCAAATTGCTCATCTCGTATAAGGATTAGTGAGATGATAGCTGGTTGGATTCGCGCAAGGATTAGCCTTTCGAAAACTTCCCCATGGTTGGGAGCAGGCCGATAGGCCTATGGCTCATCGCGAGGGTAAGGTCTTTACCCCGTTTCGGGAGCATTGAAATACTCGCGTATTTCCAGCTTTCCGGGAAATACCGTAGTGTGATACAGCTGTTGTAAAGCTGTGTTTGATTAGAACTGATGATCGGAAGCGCCTCTTTCAAGATTGGGGGACCGATCTGGTCGGGGCCCGGTGCCTTGCGACTGCGCATGCTTGCGATAGTTTGTGAGACTTCTTGGATAGTGCAGTGTCCGAGTATTGCGTTGTTGCTTGCCTCTGATTTTTCCTCGTCGTCGTCTGTTTGCGAGGTGTTGTGTGTGAACCTTTCTTCGAGCATATCTGCGAAGAATTCCGCCTTAGCTTGGTCGGAGAAAAGATATGTTGGTTTTTCTTGAGCGTTGTCAGGTCCTCGAATGGCTGTGGTTGCGTTTGGTACGGACCTCAGAGCCTTTTGAAGTTTGAAAAGGCCGTTTTTTAGTGATCGCTTCCGATCTCTCCCATCTGCGCTTTTCCCACACGGCTGCGTATTGGTCTGAGAGTGCTGCTTTTAGACGGTTTTCGCACTCTCGCAACTGTGTTTTGAGTGCGGGGCATCTGAACTGTTACCAGAGCCGTATAGCTTTGCGTTTTTCGGGTTTACTTCATCAGACGAACGCCAAAATACAGTGTTGCCTTCTTGTGAGCCGACTGTAGTTGTTTTGTGAGTGTATCCGTGCACCAATAGATTCTTCAGAGTATGATTTGCGGAGAAATTGTGTGTGATGTGGCGAGTAGTGAGAGGAACTCGTTCCAATTTGTGGGTTGTGGTTCCCACTGCTTGGGACAGCTGAAGGAGCGTATGCCTCCTACAGCGAAGGCGATAGGAATGTGATCACATAAGGAAAAGGGGATTGGTTTTGGCGTTGTTACCCGGATGTTTCCGGCCGTGAGTGTCACGTCTAGGATTTCGGGTCTTTCTCCGGGGTTTGTTGGAAAACGGATAGGGGTAAAAGGTGGGACGAGATTCACTGAGTGGTGTGATAACAGGAAGCTTACAAGTACGGACTGAATAAATTGTCTTCATTCATTTGCGGTTTGGGCCTTAGCCCGATTTATTCAGTCCCGTTATGGCCCAGTTGTGGCCCGACAATTTATTCAGTCCTCGTTCATTTGCGGTTGGGGCCTCGACCCGATTCACACTTGACGCGCGGTGGATCCACGAGCTTCAGCAGCTCCATGTGGCGACTTGACCTTTATGATTATTAGTAAGACCTGATGAAGAATTAAATATTTCGAAACGTTGGCACAAATAATTGTTTCTGTACCCATAATGACCAATCCCGTGAACAAATTTTATTTTATTATTGATCAATTGCGATTCTACAGTGATGATTTTTATCCTTAATTTGCAGGATATGTGTATCAATTGTGGAAAATGTTATATGGCCTGCAATGATTCTGGATATCAAGCAATCACATTTGACCCCCAAACACACATGCCACATGTTACAGATGATTGCACTGGCTGCACAATGTGCTTATCTGTTTGTCCTATAATGGAATGCATAAGGTAATTATCATTATCAAATTGAATTTTAAGTCAACTGCCAGAATCAACTTGTTCTTTCTTCTATTTCTGATTTGATCAATAACAGTAATTATTGGCATGATTAACTTTGATCTATACAAATACGAGTTATCAATAGGGCCCGGATTTTTATGACATGTCTTTTTTTCTTTGTGTTATTTCCATGGAAAATGTAAGATAATCATGATTTTATCTACAATGACAAATATTATGCAATTTGCACGAGTCATATGCAGACACATTTTGTATTTTTAACACTTTGGTCCATTAATTTAAATTATTAAAAATTAACTTCCGTTAATTTTTCATATCATGGTCATATTTTCCCATGAAGTTTCGGATTTTTTGTCATATTTTTTTTCTTGATTCCATTTTTATGTCCTTCAGTCATCTCAAAGAGATTTTTCATATGTCCTAATTATTATCCAATTTCTTACATTTGTATTAATGTCTTATAAACGTTGTCTCTTTCCTGTACATCTCTGTGTGTATGTGCATGCGAGTGTGTGTGTGTGGGGAGCGTGCGTGCGAGTGATAACGTGCGTGTATGTATTACGAGGGTAAGAAATATAGGAGAAAAATAAAGCATCGAAAGCACCAGATGTATAAGATGTATAGTTTAGTTTTGTCAGGTTTTGTACGAAAGTCAACTGCATCTATAAAATTTATTTAAGAACTTTAGCAAGTAGAATTGCCTTTAATATTTACTTAAATTCCATGACAAAAAAATGGAAACAGAAAACTCAAGCAGGAATTAACACACTCGTGCGGAGCAGACCGTAGACAATTAATTTCTCGCCGAGCTGGGCGCTCCCTGTGTGAGCTAGTAATTACCGCCCAGTTTGAGCGCTCAATAGTTGAAATCGATTATGGTAGTGCTAATATGAATTTTTTGAATTGCAGCAATATAAAAGAACCGTTTCTGTCGCAAGAAATCGTTCATAGTCATATTAGATTTTATGTCATCACACATTCAGCCAATCGTAGCGAGAGAATTGGGAGGAGGTAGAGCTAAACGGAACAGACGACCACCGTTTACTCGCACGATGTCAAATACCCGAGTCGTCAAGGGAAGTTGTTTCGCAAAATTAAGTTTGATTCTCTTATAAATGTATAATGCTGTTATACAAAAAAAAATATAGTATGCAACTCGTTTATTATGTTGCTTTATTACATTCGTACAAATTTGAAAACCCGCTCTAAAAGTAGCTCGTTTTCAAAACATGTACTCATGCAATAAAGCTGAAGATTATAAACTAATTGCATAAACTACTATTCCCGCATCCCACTTCAAAACCTTGAATTTCCCGCTGACTGCGGCAAGTCCAGTTCGTCGCTACCTCGCCAGGTTGAAGATAAACCGGGGCCTCCTGGCTTGAAAGTCACGAAGCACCCCCGCCCCCTTCAACCCCTTAGCGATGGCGAAGGGGGACGGGACCTGCTTTCCGCCTGGGACCTTTGCGAGTAGACAGCGGCGAAGTGTATATTCGGGGCGGAGATGGAATGAGACTCAACCATGGTGGAAAAGCATCTCTGAACTGCCTGCCCGCCACTGAGGTGAACTGGAAATCACGGCGTGCTGCGAGGCGCTACTGAGAAATTACTGGAAATCTCTCATGTTCTTTGTAAATGTGTGTACCCTTCATTTACTACGGTACCGATGCTGGAGTGAATTGCTCTGAGTTGTTAGTTCCCATAGCAGAGAGTTGCCATTTTTGATACTTTCTATAGTATTGATTTGCCATTTTTGTTACTTTGGAGGTTTTTAATTATTCTTTGTAATGTGAAGAAAAAAATAATATCTGGTTTCATTATGAGGCCCAGCCAATGGAATGTTTAAAAAAATGCGATGCTTGTTCTCGTTGAAAATAATGTTCCTATTCAATTGGTTCTCTTCCTCATAAAATGTTTTGGAAATAGAAGTTCAACCTTTTCTTGACAGTAATAAAGATAACAAACAACCAGAATGACAATACTATTTGCACACGACTAAGTTATAATAACATACTCAGAACACACACTACAGAAAGCAGCCTTCGAGTTAAGCAAAATAAACAATGAATATCAAATGAAAATATCAAGCGAGAAAACTAAAACACTGGCCTTCTGGGATTTTCAATTGGATTGAACCAGAAGCATGTAGAAGAAGAAATAAAATAGAAACAATGGAATAATGAGACACTTTACATATGAGAAAAGAAAGAATGATGAGAATCCATAATATTACAATACCAATGCTAAAGTATACTTCAGAGATGTCGAACTGGGGCATAAAGGAAACCAGAAGCATAGAAGTAGCTCAGATGAAGTTTCTAATAGCAGTGTTAGGAGTCACACGAAAAAACAAAATTCGAAATGAAACAATTACGAAAGAACGGAAAACAGGAAACTTTGCACAATAAATCAAAAATTACCAAAGGAAATGGAGAAAATATCTGTAAAGAGACAAATGACGTCTACTACGGACGGCATTAAGCTATAGACCGAATGGCAAGTGGGATAGACGCAGACCGAGCAGATGGCATCAGCAATAACACTTCATGAAGGAATACGGTCTTACTACCCACCAACAGGTCATGAGCACCGCTCCTAAACTGAGGGTGTTGATGCACGTAGAATTGTCTTCATGGTGCGCCAAAGGAGGAGTTAAATTAAGAATGTACTAGATATTAAAAGTGTATTTTCACTACAATCCTTCAATACAACAGCAGAATAATTTTGAAAGTATCGAAAATGTTAACTCATTTTATTGGTAACTTTAGTTCATAAACATCCGGGCCCTAGATATAAAAATGCTTGTTTCAAGAAGTTTCAGGAATTTTAATTTTCAATTAATTCTATTGTGTTTGATGGCGTAATACATCAACAATCTTCCTTGTTATGTCAGAGTGCTATATACTTTTATTTTGCAATGTGATAATGATGAACTACATTTTAATTTCAGTATGGTGCCGAAGACAATTCCACATATTATCAAACGAGGTATTCCAGTCCACTAAATGTATAGCCTTTTGCAAATATAGAAAACTATCAATTAAGAATGAGTGTAATGTTACTGTAAAATGTATTATGATTTATGAACAAAAACAAAATACAATCAAATATTAACATTTATGAGTGTCTTTTTTATTTCCATCTCTAGCAACAAACAAATGAACATCTCTCTTTTCTCCATCTTCAGTGCAAATCTCAGTCTTCAAATGCAAAGAGGCAATTTGTAAAATCTGATGATGTTCTAAAAAAAGTTATGATGTAAAATATGTAAATGTACAAATTGGGCATTTTCCACAATGATTTACTTTTAATTAACTAAAATATTTATCACTTATTACAAAAATATAAAGAAGTTTTTTGTTATTTTTCTGTTGTTTACTTTAATATCCCACAAAAGAATTTGTGACCTTTAAGGATAATAATCTAATTGAATTTGTAACTTTCAAGGGATACTAATTTATAATTTACTTATCTTCACGTATAACCAGTGATAATTTTCTTTACACCATCATCCAATTTAATGTCAGGCATGTTTCTTCAGGAGAGGCCAGGTCTCTACCATAATCTCCCTAACTTTTACAGAACATATAATATACTTACTACAATATCTTTTTCTGTAAGATTCTAGTTAATAAAGTAGTTTCATGTGACAGATCTTGCTAGCAGTAATTCTGTCATCTCCGTAAGATTTTGACTTTCATTGTATTCTCAAGATTTGCTTACAACCTTTACCTAATTGAATAATGATTGCATATCATGATTACCTCATAAAAAATCACTAAATATTCTTTCTTTCTTCATTTCAGTATGTACGACACTCATTTCTGTGCAATCAACACTTCAATGGTTTGCAGTTATTTTCTCAGAAATGTGGTTACCTTCTTCATTCACATGTTCTTCAGCTCTTGTGTTTTCATTTTTACATAATTGAAATGGACATCCAACCCTTAAGCATATGGGTGTGCGGTTGGGTCATTGTGATATAAATTTGCACCTTCTGAGGCATATATTTTACAAGTTCTTTACAAAATAATATGTCCCATTTTCTCCCCATATGATTAATAATAAATACAGAGAATAGCATAATGGTGCTACACATTGCAAAGGTCACACAAATAGGCTTGACCTATGGAGGGTTAAATGAATAAATTAAAGCATCATTAGCACATACTCATTCAACACAAATTTTGCCGCAACATGAACAAACTGTGGACCCCCAAAAAGGAATCAGTAGCGAATAGACTGGAAGTGTCATGAACATCACTAGTATACTTCAGTAAAACCTTCTAAAAGGAACCTTCATAGAAGGCAGAAACCTGCCTTCAGATATAAAAATCTCAGAATGGAATGATTTCATATGTGAAAATGACCTCTATAAGACAAAAACCTGTCCAATGTGAAAACAGAACGGTTTTTCAGAGAACATAAGTAGAATACCTGGCTACGAAGGAAATGTATTTAAAACTTCCGACACTAACTTTGGAAAGGCGGTGGGAAGGGTCACATCCTGAGCAAATAATAGAATGATGTGTCATTCCGCCTACACCCATGTCACACAAGCAGCATTACATTCATGCACACTGGATTAATAACATAGATAACGTTATTCAACAATGTTATTACTTAACATACTTCAATGCAATGCTCGCATGCAGGGACCCTTATACGCACTGCTAAGGAATCTGACAAATTTAGTGCAATTTTCTCACTTTGGTATGATTTTCAAGTTTGCAACAAGCCAGACTTTGTCGTAACGTGTTGTCATCCACACCCTGCTTAATTCTCAAAAGCATCACTAGGTTTCCATCAGTTGACCATGGAATTCTGGGAAGGTTGATTTTGTCACAGAATAAAACAAGATTTAAACCCAGTAGCACAATTAAGACCACAAGCTGGATGGAGAGGGGGACATCATCATTGGATAATATTTATAATATGGAATGATTCCTGGTTGGTGTGTTTCAATTTTATATTGTAGAATTCAATAAAAAATTAAAAGTCTTTTTCAATGCAACTATAAATCTGTTATTCTTACTTATACATATATTTTTAATTTCTTTGTTTAAATAATGTAAAATTAAACACAAAATATTTATTTTAAGAAATACAATGAGAATTCATAGGATTTTATTATCACATCAAAATTGGGAGGGGGAGATAGGTGAAAGTACAAATAGGCTCTCAATGCAAAACAGCCCTGGGTGCAGATACCACAAGTTAAGAGAACTAGTTGCAACCTTTAAAAAAACAAGGGCAAAATTATATTAAAAATACTTCAATCATTGCAACAGTTAAATAGTACAATACTACTTGGACTTCTATTTTATGAAATATTTGAAACAGTTAACAAAATAACTTATTCAGTGTTTCTCTTTATCCATTTAAGAAGTTTACAAAAAAAAATTGGAGTTAAGAAAATCTTGATTTTAAAATTACTGCAAAATTTATTTCGATAAAAATTACAACCTTATTTAAAGAATTAGAGAAAGATTTCACCTTTGCAATTTCTGAAAATTCAAAGAATTCACTGAAAATCAAACCTGCACCATGTTTGTAAATGTACTGTGCACCCAAGACAAAGAAAAACTAGAACCATTGTGAAAATATTGAAAAACATTAGTTAATACACAAGAATTCCCCAAAAATAAAACATCCATTTCAATTCAAAGAGCAACATCAGCCAATGGGTCCTGAAATATTTATTTTGGCCTGCCTATGGTTTAGCCACTTGTTATTTCCAGTTTAAAAGGTTTGTTGCAATACTTTTTTGACATCAAAGACCCACAAAACAGATTTGGATTGCAAGAGTAAGTAATTTACTACATACAGGAAAAGGACTCCTTGTACCACGAGACCTTCAAGCTAATGTGATTTCTTTTTCTTTTTTTTTGCTGCCTCATTCTCTAGACTACACAAGCTGGCAAGAAAGTGAAGAACATGGGATATAAAAAACCATAGGAATGATCAAATTTAAATTCAAAATCTAAAATATCTTTCAGAACAAAAGTATCAAAAAGAATAAATGTTTTCCAAGGAGTTCTCTTACAACACGAACTAAAATTTTTTAGTTTGTACGCCATAAGCTCTTTAGGGATGAAGTTACATTAACACATGCCGTGTAAATTTTACAAGTATTTCAGAATACTCACCAGACAGCACACTCCCAGGAATTCATGAAAGAAAGGTCCAGATATATAAACAACAAAAAAATTTAATTTTGTATTACATTTATTTATAAAAGAAAATGTGCAGTGATAGATTATATAAAGACAATTTTACATTGAACTATTTCATGTATGGCTTTTAGTTGCATTCACAGAAATTTTTTTCAGTTAATCCAAAATAACAGATAATATACCCCAAATAAAATTCTAAAACACACAATGTTTTATCATGGATGTCTTTGAGTACACAGAAAGTAACGCTTCTTGAATCAATGGTTCAGAATTGTCCCTTTTCTCTAACCTGCCATTTCCTCCACATACCGAAGCAGAATAATGAGTAGGGAACAAGTGCTTCTCGCATTATAAAATTTTGTTTTACATTCAAAGAAACATACCAGTAACTTTTTAATCCCAATAATACTAATAATAGCTATCTGTGATGGAACGTCACACACTACGTCTTCCATTCAATTACTTCCTTAAGACATGGGGAGAAAACAAAGGTCTGCTACTAGATAACACACATCTACCACATTTAAAAATACAGATCTATCAAGTCCATTTTTGGCAGTGACCTGATTCTGAAACATACTTCAATTAAAAAGAATCACTCAAGCCAAACAGTTGGTTTGACTGAAAATACTACACATTTAAACCAAACAAAGCGTGATTTGTCTTACAACTAATAGAGAACACCTCAGTAAAATTTTTGTTATCTTATGGTAAAAATTATCAGTATATTTTCAGTGTAAACAGTTTTAATTATGTTCAACAGAGAACAATGGTAGTTTGAAACGGATGAATGCACTATTCAAGGAACACTGGAGCTGCAATGTCAATGTTACACTCGAGGTCATGGCTCACAGTCAGAAGATCACTTAAGTGCAGTTCCATAACCTCCAGCTCCCTGTGCCCAGGACTAAAGTTCACCAGTTCTTGCTGGAGCAATGCAGACTACTTCAAACACTGCCCACCAGTTACTTATTAGCTATAGAACTTAGTACTTAGTTTCTGCAGGTCATTAACATTACAGATATTTGTAATAACCGTCATTTGAACTGCACCACCAAATATTACTAAAAACAGCTTTCTATGTTGATTCACTTTTAACCTATAAACTGCCACTGAACTGTACTGTACTGTTAAAAAATATAAAAAATTATAAAAAAAACATCCTTCAGCTTTTGTGATCCTTTGAAATTACATAGATTGAAATACTTGTACTTGGATTACAAATTTATTCAAAGCTACAGGGGATCGTACACGAAGAGTGTTCAATGTATTTCATATATAACTATGCATAAATGGGAAAAACATGAATTACTCTATGTAAATGAACAAACAAAAAAAATTTAAAAAAAATTACCTCAAATGTTATGACAGAAAGCCATATTAAGATACATAAATCACTCCCTGACAATCTGTTTAGAATCAATGCATAGGACATTCTAGAATGAGCCACACGAACAAGTCAACTTTTTCAATTATTACCCGAAATACAATAGTCAAAACATTTAAAACATTTTGGCTCCACACTCAAAAACATTTCCAAATTATGAAAATCCTTCATACACATTCTAGGCCACATGTAACCTCAACTTGGGCATTCTCAGTGCAAAAATTCTGTTCATATAAAAAACACACAATGTTCCAAATCTGCTACCACAACTTCCCAGTTACATTGATTCCATTCTCATCTGTCAGGCATGTAAGTCTCCCCTGCTAAGCCTTCCAACAGCACGATCCTTCCACCTTAATCCTCACCCTCCTCCTCTTCCTCCTCCTCCTCAACCTCCTCTTCCTCACCAGCAGATTCTACTTTCTTCTCCTCTTTCCGGGGACGTCCACGTCCTCTGCCAGTTCCTCCTGCAGGCTTCTACAAATGAAATAAACAAAATTATAGACTAGTTTCAACAACATAGCAGGATAAAAACCTGACAAAATGTCAAAATATGTTTCACCTCTAGTGGAAATTAAATCAATGATTAATTCATCATCACCTTCCCTACAATATTTGATAGTTCTTTCACAAGATACAATGTTTGAATCATGGAAAAGATGTGAAGTTACTTCTGATTCATTATACTGTGATTTTTCTAACTGCCCCTTAGGCACCTCAAGACCCTTCTTCACAGTAGAATTGTCATTGTTTTTCTCCGTGTGTTCACTAGATGTGTACGGTTGTGAATGTAAAGCAGTGCTGGATATGGTCTTCATAATGTGGCATCTAGGGCCGGTTTCATCAAAGAGTAAGAGTTTCTTCTGAAGTAAATCATGTTTACTCGAGAGTAACTTCTTGGAGCGTTTCACCAACACTTTACTCTAGTGTAAATCGCTTACACAGGAGTAAATTTGAGAGTAACTTTACACTGAAAATCTGTCGTGAAAAGTACGGAGTAATTTCAGTTTTTAACATGCATGTACCTCCCAAGTGTTACAACTCTATGATACGAATGATAGTATTTGAAGACTATTCCAGCAATGATTCGGAATATTATCCCCTAGTGCGAAGACAAAGGGTGCAAGAGTGAATGGATTGGTTTTAATTATGACAATCAAGATTTTGTCATGAGGTTATGTTTGACCAAATCAGTAGTTAACTTCAGACACATTGCAGAGATACTTGTAAATTTATTTTTCGCCCATGTGGATACAAAATAAAGATATTACATACCATATACGATAACAAAAGGAAAAATAATAACTACAGGGACTACAAGTACTTTATTTATTTAGTTATTTATTTAGTAAAAACTGTATATGATGACTGGGGGAGATCATTTGCGCATGTTTTCTGGAGTTCCATAATTCCTTTCCAACATTTTAACTATAAATAGTTCAAAGTTGAATACAAGGTTAAAAAATAAAACAAATAATAATAATAAAATTTAGAAAAACGCGAGATCAACATTTGAAAAACCAAACATTTTCATTCCAGTTATAGAAACTTTATTTGCATCGTCATCGGTAAACAAACTGCACATTTGATTTTTCTGCATTGCTAACAAAGTCTCCAACGAAAAATGAATATTTATAAAGAAATAAAGATACAAAAACTAAGAAATAAACTATGCCGGCTCAAATCACGATAACACCGCACAAGATAACGCCAAGAACTCCGAAAGTGAAATGAATGATAGAATATAAGGAATTCATCTTATGTTCATGTTTGTCCACAGTGGTTCCCCGCGTCTCCCTCACTCACAGCCTCTTGAATCCCTCAAATATTGTGCGTTCAGCTGATTCACGGAGTAAATCAGAGTATGTACTCTTGAGTGATCCATTAGAAGCATGGTGAAACGCTCATTCTACTTGAGAATTACTATCTTAGAGTAAATGGTTATTCTCAGGTAACTACTCTCAACTTCACTCTGCTATTGGTGAAACCAGCCCCTAGTGGCACAATTGAGAAACACACCAAGTACAGTGACTGCCACTAAAATAGGGCCTTGAGAGGCAGTTTGAAAAATCACACTATAACACCTACCTCCCACATCCTTGACTAGTGGGGTGGTGGTGGTGGTGGTGGTGGTGGTGAACAATGGCAAAGTTGCGATCATAGAAGCACAGCACATTACACTGCTTTGTAATCAAGATTATTCTACATTATGCCGCTCTGCTGGCCGACGGAAACACTGTACCCTGGGCACAGGTGCCAACATTTCGGCCACTATTGTGCCATCTTCCTCAGGGCGAAAAACGGTACTTTGCACTGAAAGACTGCATAATGGCAGCCAAAACGTTGGCTTGAGTGAAGCCTAGACCACAGCTACTGACTCCAGCTGCAGAAACCTATGCTCTCAAAATGATTCTAGTAACAATGTATAATTCACATGTCAAAGGTTCTGTTTCGAAGAACAAATCTGTTAAAATAAAAGATGGATGTTTTACATAATACCAAAATCTATAAAATAAGAACTATTCTCATTCATTCAGTAGTCATGTAAACACTCCAGTCTTATTGACTGCAGGTATTCTGTTCCTGTAACAATATATTTACATCAAAATCTGTTCCTACATAGTACAGCATACAAGTTAGTGTTTCATTTACACATTTTCTATTTTTATGTTTGTTTTTACTACAGACCAGATTCAGAAAAAGGTGACACTACAAGATTAAGCAGTTCGGATTGTGAAAATAATATAATTCTAAACACACCACAATAGAACCAACACCACTATAGCAAATCAATGGAGAGTTTGTACCATAGAGCTTATGGTACGTAAGCTATTTGAAACTAATCGTTTTGGAAACGGTACAGACCAAGTGAGTAGGAATTTATCAGATTTCATTATCAAAACTAATCGCACACCAAGCTTACATAATTACATCAAATCCGACAAGCACACAACGCACCTGCATTTTGACCATTTCACAAGAGATTCATAGCAGCAAAATTTAATTTTATTGCCTCTATTATTTTTGAAACTAACACCGAATTGTCTACAAGTAGCAGTGATTTGATTGCAATTAAAAAATTGCATTTGGCAATTAAGTCATTTATGCTAACCCTGCCAACTCATTTCAGTACACAAATTTTTTACTCTACTCTTACCAGTAACAGGTAATAGAGAGGACATTTCGGATCAACAAAACCAGAGAGAATTTATCTGAAGTTGTCAATTTTTACAATTATTCTTTCCTACACTACACAGCATGAGGAGTCCTTTCCACTAAATTCTCATTGCCAGTGTTCGGCATTAATCATTTAAGAGATGTCCCAAAACCTCTAGTTAATAATGTATTGAAAACAAATGCCTTAGTTAAACAATTAAGGCTCCATTGTTCCTTGTGATATACATGATCCACCCCTCAATCATTCAATCAATCTTGATAAACACCATTGACAACCATCAATAGAAATCGTAAATTCCTCTTAGAAGGAGAGGCCAGTAAGTCTTGAAGTCTTCCTAGTAATGAATGAATACACATTGACAACTTCCATTTGTATGACAACCCTGTTTTCAAATTTGCTAATTTATTTTTAAACTGAAAACTCAAGTCCTTATTTAACAATAACATTTCCTAAAATATTCAATTTGATTTTACACTTCAATGCAACTACTAGATTTGTAACATTAGTTTGTCTTATCCATTAACACATTACAAGCACAAGACCAACAAGCCCAGCAGTGCGCAACTCAGAAGCTTGAAATGAAGACTGATCCGAATGTCGAGTGTGGAGGAAAAAAGGAAATTAAGAAAACTTCTAGAAACTAACCTTGGGTGTGGTTTTTCCTTTCTTCTTGGTGGAGCCCTTTGGTCGCCCTCTTCCCCTTTTGGCAGGTGATGCTCCATCAGCCTTCTTTACATCCTTCTTGTCATCTCCAGATTTTGCACGCTTCTTTGCTTCTTTAGAAGTAGTCTCCTGGAAAGAAGTACAACCGCCCTTGAAACATCCAATCACTGTAATTCCATTGGTTCAAATTACAATTATTACATTAAAGAATAAAACAATACAAAGGAAAAAGAATATCATAAAAAGCACACGAAAGTGGAAGTATCAAGGAATCCAAATCTATCAATATTACATAAAGTAGTTGCTCTTTTGTATGGTATTAAGATAAACTGCAGCTGATGAATCCATGTTTTCTAATGCACATAATTTTAAAAACATTTGTGTCACAAGACCAATCAAAATAACATTCATTCAATTCTATATACATTGAGTTTTTTTCTTTCGAGTAAAAATATGATTTGCCTATCACTATAATTCTATAATCTTTCAAGCTTCTCTAATTTATTGAAAAATCTAGAGTTAACCTAGAACTCCATGATCATGACTTTTGAAGATAAAATTAGAAATTAATCCCACCAGCTTTATGAATCTGAATATTTTTACATTAACTTTTCAGTCCTAAACATCAAGAAGCAGTATACAATATTTCATAAAACAATAAATCCACAATAAAATATCTAATGGTTGCTAGATCATTCACAAACAGCAGCCATTTTTGTTCCACGATGTTCCCAAACTTTAGCTTTTGAAAAATTTATGTTCCGCTTTTACAGCTACCTTAAAGAACAAATTTCAATTTGCAGGATGTTGGCCCATTGGTTGTTCTCATTTGCACGATAGACATGCCCTATTCGTGTTACTGTTCTCTCCACTTTGGCAATCCAACATTGTCCAGTTGCTTTGTAATTTTATGTGAGTTTCAGAAGTTCACTCCCTTAATGTCATTCTCTTATCCAGATAATATTATTTCTAAAATATTTCTAAGTCTTCCTCATTTGTATTCCTTTGTTGATGCAGATATATAATAGGAATTCATTTGTGGTGGTTTGAATCTTGATATCCTTGTAGGGTTCATGTTTTTAATTAAAAAAACTCAATTAGTCTTTTTAAGGACAGCTTTTGTACAAGAATTTGCTTATAACAAGAGTTTCACATCTAATACCTACTTTTGTACCCTTAGGTTTCAGACCTTGTAAAAAATTAGATTTTCAACAAAAATTTCTCAATTAGGATCTTAAAAATTTGAAATTTAAAAACCTATGTCTGAACTACTAAAAAATTATTGATAATAGAAAATTATCTTTTATACATGATAGATGAAATTATGCAGTGTTAAATATGCCAATGAGCGACTGAGCATTAAAGCATTTGGTCCAAAAATTTTAAAAAAATTTGATCATTGCCTTAGGCACAATAGGTAAACAAAATACTGAAATATTCAAATTCTTCTGCGAAGGGCAAGAAAACAACTGTTTTATGGTTACTTCCTCAGGAGGACTAAACACAACAGAATTTTTTAATTTAATTACTTTTGGCAGGCCACCTCTATATCCACAAAAGTTACTACCAAATTTTTAGTAACTGGCCATAATTTTCAATTATCTTGAAGTTGGTTAGGAAATTCACCTTTTTTTTAGAAGTACAATATCCTTTATCACTTGCTTTGACATTGATAAGACATGGGTAGACAACCTGCTTCTAAACTTCTTCTGTTTTAGGTATGAATTCATAAAAATTATGGCATACAGTAATCCTCACAGCTCCTTACCCCAAAAAACTTAATAAAAACTGCAGTAAGAAGCACAATATGTAGTTTCTTCAGCTCTAGGATCAGCCCTCTTATTCATATGAAGTTGAATTATGAAGAGATACCAACAAGCGTTTTGGCAAGAAGTTGAAATAAAAATATTTACTGACATGAATGCCACTCGCAAAGGCAAATCAGGTTCAGATTTGGCTACTATCCTTCATTGTGCCATTCATGTAGGAATCCACTCTCAGCAGCAACAAAATTGAGAACAATGTGGAAATCTACACATCAGAGCCCAAGGAAACCTGCACAGACAGTGGGGGATACCAATGATTAAGAAGCATTTGCTGATAGTATCTCACAAGAATGAACATTTCATCCAAGTATACTCTGACTAATAAGTATATACTCAACTTCATATGAATACAATGTTCTCTGGGTGATTATTATATTTTAATGGCAAATTGAGAAGATTCTTCTTTGTCTATGGAGATAAGATTTTATTCTCTCACCATTATACAACTCCTTGTAACTTTTCTAGTTTAGATGCTGATGGCATCAATTTGTGACCAGTATATTTTTACACTATGCTTCCATTTCACACAGAATGGAGCAAATAAGTACGTTATCAAAGACACGTGTAATTTTCAGAGTTCAAAAAACCAAGTCCTTTGCAATACACAGATTCACCATGAACTGATGATACAATAAAAGCAGTTTCAGTGAGTCATTACAAATTCAAGACACATTCATAAAAAAGACAAAGGTAAAAAACTGCCCATAACTATACATTTATATCATATGTTAAATGTTCATTTACAAGTTGGTACATATACAATGCACCAATGAAAAGAGGACATCATCAAACAGAGCCCAGGTAACAAGTATGGACAATACCACAACCTTGATTTTGAAAAAAGCATTGGAAGAGTACATTTTCATTATTCAGTACATGTCTAAACTCCCCCCACCCCCCATTTTCTGGAGCATTATGCCAATTAAGGCCAGGTTATTCTCACAAGCAGTCCTATTTACATTTACCTGCATTACATTTTTGCTTTAATACCCCTTGCTATCCATTCCCTAAAGATCACATCTAAATAGGAATGTTTTTATAACATTGTCCAGAAAAAAATGTGAATTTGTTCTCGCACATAGATTTAATTCTTTTTCAGCAGGTTAAAATTTAATTTAACCACTTTCGGGCAATTATTATTATTATACAGTCCAAAACCTCGATAGTTTCTTTAGAAAACTTCAACAATAGTCTCTAGAAAATGCTCAGAATCTGCAATACATCACTGAAGAGCTCAAGAGCACTTACAAAATACACTTTCCTTTTCATTTTGTATGAATGAGCACAACTACTGATTTCCATCTTATTGTGACTAAAAAGAAACACTGTGATAAATGTCATTTCTAAAAAAGTGTAATACACTGTGGCAAATCAACAGATTCCTCCTGACCAACAACTGTACAATAAAGACATTCTTAAGCCAGGCACCTCACAACATTCTAAACAATTTGAGGATATTCTTGTGAAAGCAGATAATTCTTTTTTATTCAGGTGGATGTGAGCCTATGCTCTACCGAGCCACAGAAAAAGAGAGTATTTTCAAAATTTGAGAAATTTATTCTTTTTTGAGAATATTTTTGAAACATTCATATACTGTCAAGAATTGCTCAAAACACTAGTAAATAGGACATGCTAATTTTTATTCATGCCACCCAATGAAGCTACATTCATGTGCAAAGCCAAAATGAGGAGCCATCTCACCTCATGAATAAGGGAAAAACTGATCGAGGTAGGCATCGTGGACCCAGAAGCTGAGATACAATACTTATAAAAGCATTTAGTTTTTTAGAATTATACTGTCCAATTTTCTGAATGGTAACTAATACACTACTTGACATTGTAAAAACTTAATATTTTCCTTTTGATGGCCAGTATGGCCCAACTATGAAAACCCTTGTTTACTTAGCACATTAACTCATGAATCAATTTTGATTGCCTAGGGTCATCTAGCCAAGTGTTAAAAATAATTTGAATGTATTGTATGCACTATTGAGGAACTTTTTATAAATATCACAGTGAGCGATATATATCTCGTATTTGTTGAAAATATGTTCCCAGCCTTTAGCAAGTCGCTTCAGACAGAACTAATGAATTGTTAAAAACCAGGCCCTGCAATAAGAATTCATGGATTAAAAATTAAGCTTTATGAATCATACAGGTAGGATTTGCTTATCTGTACATTTCTTTTCTGTAATCTATAAGTCTGCTGGCTACAGGATGTGATTTCCCAGAATATTGTGCTGCATCTCTGGTGGGAATGAATACTAAATATACAAAACAATTTTCCTAGATGCAATGAAATTTTTAGAATTTTGGTAGTAGCAATTGCAAATTTATTTTGCACACAGGCATATTTTGGCACTAAGCAGTTAGTTAAATATCAAAGATGTATTATTAATGTATTATTATTAAAAATTATAATTAATGTATTATTATGTTAATTAAATATCAAAAATGTATTATGTTAATGATTAGTTATACTATAGCAAAAATTTATCAAAGTAGATTCTCAAGCAACCCAACCCTTAACTGGTGGTAAAGGGATTCTATCCTGGGCATGAGATTAGGCAGCAGCATCTTCATTAGCAGACAAATTTAATGCAATCAGTAAATTTATGAAGGTAGTGTTAATCTGTCAATTGACAATTTGAGAAGGGAAGGTATTTAACAAAACTATCCTTACTTTATTTGCAGAGAGTTCCCGAAAATTTAGGAAATTCCCCAGCCCTGCAAACCATTTAATTCAATTTTTTGTTTTGATAAACTTACATTTCCTACCCAACCAATGGCTAAGAAACCAAGACCCTGATTTCCCACATTTTGGCGTCAGTAAGCATAAAGGTCAAATGGTATATGAATGCTAATTTAACAAGGGACATAAACTAGAACACAAACAAGGTCTCTTAAACGAATATGCAACTTGCCAAAGCCTCTCTCCTCTCATGCTTTGGGAAAATCTGGTCCGGTCGGCTACCTTCTAATTTTTTTATCAGCATTTAATTAATCTTTGAAGAATAGAATCGAAAAACTAAAAATTGCAACGCAATTTAGACGCATTAGGACTTAACATGTCACCAGTAACCGATTAAAACACAAGATAAGATAAAAATCTTTCAAATTGGGGATTTAAAATTAAAATTTTAACAGGTTGAATTTCAGTCGATTGATGCACGCTGCCAATCGGAAATCGATCGTTCCAGCTCGTGTAAGGCAAACATATGAGCACAACGTAGCTACAGCTTAGTACATCAAATCGCCACTACGGCGCTCAAGTAGTTTTCACAGAGACACTATTGCGAACCGAAGAGTCAACCAACGAGGAAAACCGGAACTATAGACGCAAGTTCCTTCCTGTTAAGTAAATATTGAAAATAAATTATTTCACCCTCGCGTACATCGAAGTCGCCGCTATCCATCCTTGAAAATTATGCCGGTCTCAAACATTCAACATGTGGAATCTACACAAATTTACTGCTCTAAAAAAATAATTGCTATAACGAAAATATATTTCCCACATCAACATCCCTTATGATTAAGGTATGTAACCAACTCTTAACTTTGGAATTAATTTTGGGACTAACATTTTGGTTAGATTAGTCAGATCCAATTCAAGATACTTTCGTAGTTTCGACTACAACAAAAATTCGTCTTTATTATTCCGTTGTCTTTACCCATAATGCTTTGAACAGTTTTAAAATCGCCGTGGCTTACACTTAAATTTAATCTCAATTAAATTTCCCATGTATAAATTTATAACACATATTGCAACGAATGAGTAAGCACAATAACCATTATAGGCCTAAAACTAAGTTAATTTCTACATAACTTCACTGAATATACAATATCCACTTAAATAACATCATAAGTAAAATTCTTTTCTGAATTTACTAGTGGAATACAAATCTTGCACATAATAAAGATACCTTTTCTCTAGAACAATTCTCACTAGTTCTTCACTCGAGGAAATGCCTTCCCCTCCTTGTGGGACCATCTGTTCTTTTGTAATAAATTGAGATTTCAACATTAAGACCTTGAATGGTCAGGTTCAGCCTGTAAATTGACTTTAACTGCCACTTATAAAATAGCATCAAACACTATTTCCATCAATTTTCACTTATATTTTTTTCTTTAGTTTCACAATTTTTACAAGGAGTGTTCCATGTACTATCATAGAAAAACAAATTACAAAAATGTTTCACAATGGCAAATTTACTAAATTTTTCCTGGTGGTAAAAAATTACCCTGAATTGGTCTTCCTACAAATTACAAATTTGCCAATAACTCCAGAAATTAAGAATTAGCAAATGTTTACCAACAGTAAACTTTAGAAGATCTGAAATGCCTATATCCTAATTTCCTCAAATATTTTCAGTTTTTCCATCTGCCAAAATGTTCAAGTTTAATGATTCCACATACAATTAAAAAAATATATTTCACATAAAGTAAAGTCTGTGAAATTTGTTTCGTTCAAGAATAGTTAAACTAACCAATTAAAAATGAAAGAAATAACTAAGCAAGAACATAGATTTCCCCCATGAACTACTTAGAATCTGCCATTCGTTCACCGAACTTCTCATACCCTTACGAAGTTATTTTTAATAAATCACAGTTTAAAGAAAATGCCACTCCACAAACATTTCACTAAAACTTATCATAAGACAGAGGACTCAAAATTCACTCTTCCTCTATCAATAGGATACTAGTTTTAGTGACAACTTTTTAATATTAACGTTTATGACAATTTTTTTTCTGGAATTATTGGAATTCATAATGAGGAGAAATAAAATAATTTTCACAACACTACCTTCAAATCAGAACCGCCCTTTGATGGGCGTCCACGCTTCCGCTTGGTGTCCTCAGGGGCTGGGCTAGTTTCGTTGTCGGACATGGTCGAGAGAAAATGTTTTTATTTTCTTTCAGTAAAACCTGAGACAAAAATTAACACCATTGGGGTACCACAAACTATATATTCTCATTACACACTTCTCTAACTTCTTAACATCCTTCGCGACAGTTGTTTGGCTATTTCCCTATTGCTATTAAATTATTGGCTTTCTTTCAACATAATACAACGTATTATCCAAATTAAAAACAATTTTTAAGAGTAGCAATCATCCCGAACTGCCTAATGAGACATAAATTCCGCGCCCGCCATTTTCAAATCAAACGAATCTCTCCAAGAAAATAACGATTGTGGACCTCAAAAAATTTTCCCTATTTTTAGAGCGTTCTACCGTCAGCATTTCCTTCAAAATCTCGTAGACGGAAAAATATAATATCCCCTCTGCAAATTACACTTCGATGCACACCGCACAACAACGAAAATAAATTAAAATTCGAACACTAAAATGCCAATAAAATAAGGGAACCAGCCTCACAGCTCACGATCCGTCTCCACACCACCCGACGCCATACCATTTGCCGTCTACATCGGAGGTCGGTGGAAGTCTGTCCTATTAATTATTTTTACTCTGCAACTACGCAGTTCCCAGCACTAAAAAATATATCAAAATTTACTACAAAAAATACTCACGCTAATTTGAATTTTCCACCGCCCAGCAAAATTCCTACGAGGAGATGTTAAATGTACAAGAGACAAATTTACACTCCTACCTGATTTTCCACAACGGTAGCTTGGCAGCAACGTAGTTCCAAAGCGTTGTTACAGATAGCGCTCAATTCCCGCGTAAATTTTAACTATTCCTTAGAAATTAAAATATTATTTAGCAAATGAAATAAAATGTCTTATAATATTCTTGATAATATACACATATTTATTTTACAAAGTAATCACTTTAAAAAATTTTAACAGCGAATAAAAAAATCGAGAGTGGATCACAGTAACGGCCTGGTAAACAATAAGTAGCCAATGGTCAAGAGTTTCTTAATTTAAAATTTGAATATATCGCCAACTTCGTTAAAATGCTTCAAAAATATTTATGAAATGGATATAGACTATTTTTTATATTCGTATTTTTCTCTCTCACAACCACGGAAATATCATGTATTTTAATTAACATGTGTTGGGTTCGTAAATTACGTTTCGTAGTGCAAGGACTTTCGCATTTCCCTCGTACCTGAAATTGAAGTCCAGAAAATAAATGCAATTTAGTTTATCTCAATACAGATTGATTAATTTCTTAACAAGAATTCGACAAGTTGAAACGGTATGTCTTATTTCACTTATAATGATCGACAAAAAATGTAAATTTATCTCATAATTTCGGTAGCAGTGAATTGATTGTCGATTCAAATTAATATTAATTGTCTTTCATATGAACGAGGGATACATTATATTAAAGTATTACTTTGTGTTACATTATTTTATTTTTAACACTACACCGAATCAGGGGCGGTTATGTTGGCAATCGACGTCTTGCTCCGTGTGGGGGCGTCCTTCTGGATTCATCTTGCATCAACGTTATTTCCGAGTATTCCAGATGAAAGAAGGCGTATTTGTTTACATACCCTCACACTGCGAACCATACGTTACTGGTCGCGTTCGTTAAGTCTTTCAAATGTTAGTTATAAACTAAATGCAAATGGAAACACTCGAGTAAACATAAATCTAGTGGGCATCAATATTATAAATTTCCAGTGTAATAATATTTATTGACGTTGAAAAGAATAAAGCCAATTAAATCTGTACCCAAGACCTTTGCTCTCCCCTTTTACCTAATGCACACTTTATACTTTAATTTATGGCTTGGAAGACAGTGTGATGTCCAGTCAACCTTGGAATTCACTATCAAATTTGCTATTATAAACGAAAGCATGCATAATGTTTGAACATTAGCTTTTCAATAAAAGGCATTTTTTCTTATAGATTATTTAATTTATACAATACAAATACAAGCACAATTTTGTACAAAATTACATAACATAAATTTATTTTACATAAAGATACATTTTTGTTTTATAAGTCAAACATCAGTTTCACAACAATTGAAATGCAAGAGATCTTCCATATTTTACTCAATAGATGAGCACCACTTGTGTATTTTATACAACTATATTCATACCCAAGAATCTCCATGACATGTAAAAGCAAATACACATATACAAATTTAATTTGTAATAACACAGCACTGAAGAATAAAACAATGTCTGTTTTTATTATTGTACAATATAAAATAATAAAAAAATATTCTGATGTGGATAGAATTGTTAGGTTAGGTGATATTCAATAACCCCGTATCAGTGTCCAAATACACAAAAATAAATCATACTTGAAACATTCATCATCCAAGTATCTTTCAAAAATTTAATGATGGTCTGTATTAATGATAACAACCACTGTTGGATTGCTAGTAGCATCTCCTTTAACTTCTACAAAATTAAAATTATTAATGTACTTGGAATTATTTAAATCATAAGATACATTCTCTTGGGAGTTGTTTGATGATTGTTGGGGTGTAGAATGATAAATCACATGAAAAGGAACTTGATCATCTAAGGGCATCTGCTCATTCACACAAAACTGGATACTATTTTGGCCAGAAATTGATGGAGTTTCTATACAACAATCTTTCTGAACCTTGTCTGATAAAACAGATTGAATGTCTGTTTCCCGAGGTGTTTGAATGAAGAGAGTACGCTGGGTATTTGTGTTTCTGTTAATTGTTACACCTTGTAACACATGAGTTTGTGATAAACCAGGAATGGGATTGCCCACAATGTTACCACAGGAAGTGGAAGTTGGTTCTTGGGCTACACTCAATAATACAGCTGTTGGCTCATCTGCCTCTTCTTCTAGTTGTTCATCATCTTCTGGGCCTACTTTGGAATGATAATCATGTTCTTGTTTTCTACAATGGCGCTTTTTCACTTGATCCACATCTTCCGTCAAACGTCTGTTCTTTTCCGCCTCACGTTCCTTAAGCTCTACCAAAGTTACTTCCCTCCCAAGTTTCTTAGACAGGTCTTTCAAGTACTCAGTAGTTAATTTCTCTCCCTTTTCGATCCATTCTGATTTCACTGCCTTGCAATCAGAATCCACTTGTTGGTCTGCCTTATACCTATGAGCAAACAAGAGGAAAGACATAGAGACCTTGCTAATATTGACAAATAAAATTAGAGCTCTGACACAATCCTCTTAAAAGCTCTGATGGAAGTTGCAGACTTTACTGCCAATTCATTACTAATAACATTCAGTCCATTACATAGCATCGGAATCAAAATACCAATTTGAAGTAGAATTTGAGGACCTGATCCATATATCTGAAATATGAAATTAAAATATGTATTATGTTAATAAAAAATAAAGCATTAAAAGAGTTATTAAGAAATAGAGAATCAAGTATCCTAAATTTCTAGCAACATTTACTGTTGCTCAATTCATATAGTGAAATATGGAGCTGTACATGACGCAATGTAATGAAAAAATGAGAGAATAATAATAATGAAACAAATTTTAATATTAAAAACTACTTTGATAAAATTAATACTGATTATGTGTATGAAACAATAGTATGTAAAATCTAGACAGAAGTACTTCAATTATTGAAATAATTTAACTCAGCTCAATTTTTAAATAGCTTTTTAGTTCAAACATTTGCCATATAGATTGTTACCTTAACCCAAACAACTTTCTTCACTCTTGCTGAATTTATTGTATTAGTTGGGTACGTAAGATATAATATTCATGAATAACACTGATACTAACCTGATATGTACATTACTAAGAACACTAAAAAAAAAAAAAAATACAAAAATAATAGGCAAGCACATCAAATGTACTAGTGAAGAGATTGAGACTTCATTTATAATATTTCATTGCCTTGGTTGGATGTTTTAATGATTCTGAATACAGGTGATTGGAGAATATGATTTGAATCATGGGGGAAAAAAAATTTTCACAACATGGGGTTTGAAGTTGATTAACTTGATTAAATTAGAAGAAAAGGAAAGAACAGTCTATACGCGTAGTCTGGGGGTTAGGAAAGAACTAGAGTTTATTCTATTATTCACTTGTTCTATTCCACTTTGAAGCTGCAAACACTTTATTACTTTATAAATACTTGATTTTCAAAACACATTATCTGTCATTAAGTTGAACGTGATTAAATGTACAATCAATGGTGAAGCCAACACATGTCATATCCCTGCATCAACTTAACACATCTTCATAACCTTGCATTAAAATTAATAGTTCAGAATTTGCAGAAAAAATGTCTGGTTAACTATACAAATTAGAAACTAATTCCAAGTAAAATCAGGGCCCACTCACCAGAGAATGATTCTCGTTTCTTTAGGGTAAATTTGTAACTAAAATTAGGGCAAATAAAAAATTATGTAACTTTCCCATTATCATGTTCTAAAAGGCATAACGTTAAAAATTTTAATGGAATTGCTTGTTTTGTGCATATTCAACTCTGATATGGATTTTCTATGGTAATAAAGTATTTGCTGCTGTTAATTTTTAATTGTAATTAGTCTTATTGATGTATCTGATGATCGAAACAAGCATATTAACCAATACTCATAATAAAAGAGGATGTGACAAATATCCTCATAGTCTTTCAGAACATAATTTTGAAGCATGCCAGTCAGAAAGTTAGTCACCAGTAAGAAGTGTTCAGAGGAATACTTTCAAAGCTCTGTAAGACCTTCTTTGTAGACCTCATATAGACATCCATATAGCATCAATATTCACTTTGAGATCCAAACATAATGCTTTGGGTAAATTGTCATTTTGATAATGTATCAAGTGCAAAGGAGCCATTTTCTAAAAACATAATTTGTCTTCCCTAATTTGTTATCCTATTGAAGCACTGCTCAGGATAGATCATGTATAAAGAAAATTTATTACAATGAGATCAAATTCAATGGACTTTTCGGCTTTCTTCTGAACAGTTTTCCCAAATATTCGGGACATAATTCATTCAACAGTAATGTTTACAATTATGGTGAGGAAACAACAGCAATCAGGAATACCAATTCTTATCTAATACACTAACTATATAAAAAATGTAAATACACTGAAGGAAAACACGTATTTGAAACATTCATAGAAGAATACTCACTTTCTGTATGAAAAATCTGGCTTGTTATGAACACCTTTCACATGCTTAGTTACATTTCCTTGTGTATTGCATGAGTAACAGCAAAACGGACAGGCATATGGCCTCTGGTTCGTATGGATGAGTTCATGCCTCTCCATGTGATGCTTTGTTTGAAAAGACTTTTGACAATGTTTGCATGTGAATTCACGTGGACCATGTACAGCCTTACGATGAACAGTGAGACGTGCCACACAAGTAAAAGAGCTTTCACAGAGTTGGCACCTGTAAAACAAATATTTTAAACTATATCTAAATGATTCACACAATGAAACAAAGTTTGTTTTTTATGCATGTTAAGAGTTTCATGCAGTAACCCTTTGTATTGTTTCTCTTTAAGATGTCCGTCTCTCTGATAAGAGAAAATTAAACTTCGTGTATTAGTAAACTTAATAATTCAATGTAAATAAAAAAAACAGCTCATTATTAAACAATGAAAGAATTAGATGATAACCACACTTACTTTCAATGGTACAATTCTACTACTACTAAAAATTTATATAATATTAAAATATTACAAATTAGTAGGACATTTTGAACGCTAATATTAGATCTAAAACAATTTGGAATTTATCTAAGAAAATAACAAAATAATATTAATATATTAGATATTGTACAACTAAATAAATTGTACTTTCATTTAATACCCAAAAATGTAGATTTTTTTAAACAGTACAAGTAAATCTTTGCACATCTCTTAATCAACTTCAATTGCGCACTCAAATATATTCAGAAGGTTCAGACTTTACGTCAGTTTTCAAAAAAGGTAACAATATCCAATATTACTTTTTTCCTGAAAATAATTGTCAGAGTATTTTATAAATGAATGCACTTCTCAAAAAAAGTGATGCAAGTGAGATGCCTTTGAGAAAGGCACAACCGTAAATCTAGCTTAACTTTAGATCGACAAACAATATTTAAATTCCCTAATCCACTCAATCCACAATCTTTCCTCAAGATCATGGCTCCCAATTGTTCTAGTAGCTAGCCAATCATGACATTACTTTAAATATCTTTCAATCCATAAGAAAATAATTTTCTTTTTGATTTAATTATTATTATTAACTTGATTGGCCACATTGGACCACTTGAGTCGTTCCACTTCACTTTTTACTGTTCATGGTCGACTGTCGAAGGTTTTCACCTTGAGGTGAGGATAAATCCTCGAGTTACAATTCTGAATGTTATTCAGAAAGATGATAATGAGAGATGGAGGATGATGGATGATAGGGGGTGAAAGGACGAACACAATACAACCATGCCCGAGGCGGGACTCGAACCCGCGATCTTTCGGTACGAGATCGCTATGGCACTACTGCCTTAGCGATCTCGGCCACCGGATCAGCTTTGATTTAATTACACAGACGGTGGCCAATGAATAAGGACTTTTTATTTCTGTTTCTATAAGATTATTGATGTTAGTAAATATTAATTCTAAATTCTTGAAGTTCTGAATTCCTAATATCCAGGAATAATCCAGGTTGCGAAGGCACAGTGGCTACCTGGGCTTCAAGGGTCACAAGTTTAAATCCTACCGTTTGGATGTGTGCACATTTTTTTTGCTCATATATGCACAGTAGCATTAACCACTTATCCTAGTTGATGTAGAGCTGGCATGGGCTGCTGGGCTACTATTTTAAGCTGTCATCATGGCTTCACATACACAGACCACTCCCAAGGCTACACTTGTTTATTGCAAGGACCCAGCAGCGACCTCCACAGTGTTGCCAAAACAATATCAAGAAAAATTACTATGTAAATGAGCCTGCTGTTATAGATGGGAAATACTACCCAGAGGTATCAGCCACACCATAGTTGACAACAGTTCACTAAGAGGAGCCCCATTCAAAGACCTGAAACCCACATCAGCCAGAATATGACAACAGTGATCAGGAGCATTGGAAAGGTGGAGTGATGCAGTAAGCTGCTGTTACCATTAGAAACTTGATTCCCCACCTCATCCTCCTAGCTCTCCATCTCTCTCCAATAGAAGTATTGATCACTGTCATCTCTCTCCACACAATGAAGTAAAATAAATCTTATTTATCAGCACTTACCTCTTTCTGTCAATATAGTTGCCCCCTTTACATATGGTGACAACAAGTTTAGCGCATGCATTGAAATGATCACATATTAACAATTTTATAAGAGTGCTGAGATTGAAATTTCAAAATTTTCTTCCTGTAGTTGAGGTTCTGCATCCACAATGAAAGTCTTATGGTATGAGTACTTAGGATATGCATTAGCAAAATATTTGATATCCAACTACTGCTCTTGTAGAAAATGTTTTAGATGCAGACGAGCTCCAGTTGATTTAAGTGTTAGAGATATTATAAACATTGAACTAAAAAACAAACAAAGTCCGATGAACATGAGAGGCGAAGAACCCTACTGTGGAAGGTAAGGAGACCTACGGTGATTAAGTACCTCAATGTGGAAAACTAAGGGGATGAATGAAGCACAGTGACTCACAGAAAATGAAATAACATTATTCACAAGTCTAAACATGTGAGGTTGTTTCATTTGAATAAGCTTTGAGTGCACATATGTGCATTTCTATCATCCGGCAAATCAATATGATCTCAGTTTTAAAATGTACATTAGATCAAAAAGTACAACTTTTTTTGCTTAATGGCCAGAATGACTTTTAAACAGTATGATTTAAGGAACAACATACTAAATTTTCAGACAATTTGACCAGAACCTCATTTTTAAAAGATTTTGTGGGGTTCTTAAATTACACATTCAATTTTCTGAATACCCTGCAATCTTAGATCCTGAGTCGTAAATACCAGAGAATGATATCCGAAACGTTACAAATTAAATTACATAACCTGATCAACATAGATTTAGAAAACAATTTAGGTAGTTACAAATAACTACAACAATGTACTAATTTGCAAAAAAATTATGACAATGCAGGAACTAAAATCAAAAATTTGTAATCTGGTATCTAAACAAATCTTTGACTTTCCCTCCCTCTTTTTTTTTCTTTCTTTTTTTTTTTTTTCCTTCCTCCCCTTTCCTTTCCTTTCAACATTCACACATTTTCTTTTATGTATTTTCTCCCCTTACTGCCCCATTTTCCCTATCACATGTTCTTTGTTTCTGCATTTCATCCTCGCCATAAATACTATTTATATATTTTTTATTTCAACGGACTTTCATTTTGGGAACAAAAAGTAGTCACTCAGGGCTAAGTCAGGACTGTTAGGTGGATGAGAATGCTCTGTGAAGCCATCAGTGTTCAATAATGGCCTTCATATGAGAAGCAGTACAGATGGGTGCAAGAGACACCTCTTGAAAGTTTACCCCACCTCTTTTCTTTTATGGCTTCTTGGAATTTTGTTATTAAATTGGTGTAATATTTTGCATTTACAGTAGAATTTCTTTATTTATAATCAATTAACAATATTCCTTCACTGACCGAGAAAATCCTTTCCATAATCCTTGTTGATAGCAATACTTTTGCTTTCTTTTGGGGAGAATCCCCAATCCGGCACCATTCAATTAATTCACTCGTAGACAGGGGGACATAACAGAAAACCATGGCCTCTTTGCCAGTGACAATATATCGAAGAAAAGCATCTTTGTTCCTCCCACAAAAGTCCAAAATCTGTCAGGCACAATTAATCCGCGTCTGTTTCTGCACTGTGGAAAGAATTATAGGCATCCAAAGTGCACTGATCTTGTCCATGAATGTTCATGAAGAATTCAAAGGTCATTTGTTTTTGACAAATCAAGCCATGCAGAATTTCTTTAGACTTCAGTCTCCTGTCAGAAAGCACATCCTCCTTGACAGTTACAATGTTTTCTTCAGTGATTACTGTTGCTGGACGTCCACTGCACGCTCCCTGTCACAAGTTTCTCTTCCAAGTTAAAAGAATTTGACTAATGTTTTATGGTTGAATACGATGGGAAGCATTACCACACACTTTTCCACGGCCTTTGTGATTGGAAAAAGTGTACAATCCTTTTTGTTAAAAATGTTAACACCACACAATACTTCATAATTGACATGTGCATACAGGTGATAATCACTCCTGTAAAGAGAAGAATGCAACAGAGGGTATCTCCAAGATTAGATCTCTCTCAGATTAGTATTCCAAACTAAGATTCCAATCACTGCCACTCACAATATTCTGTGCGTGAAGTAGGTCAGGCCAAGAACTTATGGGCTTTGCTCCGTATAATCACATTTTCCTTCTGATCATCTTTCTCTGTCTTTCATAATGTCTTGTCTGAGCATATTGTGTGGTGATGGCAGCTTATGACACAGTCTTAGCAGATAAAGAAATAGAAAACCAGCTGCAACAAGTCAACAGATTACTTCAGTTGGACACTAGAGAGAGCAGTGGGTGCAACTTGTTGGTTTATAAAGCAACTTAGGTGGCCAGTAGCACATGGTGTGCGCCCTATTGATAACAACAATCTCCTGCTTGGTAAGAGAAGTGTGTAGCGGCTCCGTCCAGGTGAGTAAATGGAAGATATTACAGGTACACTGACAGTGGATAGCCAGGATGGGATTTGCACAGACCAGAGAGGTAAATGGTTACCTAAAAAAATAAAAATATAAATAAAATAACATTTGCTATTGAAGGAACAAATTGCAGACACTCGCAGATATTTGAACAAATATAATTTTCATACTTTGCTAGCTATTTTTTAGCATGGACAGGGGTTTCAATTTGTTTGGGTTGGATTCATTCACTTATTACACATATTAAAGAGGTCCTATGTCATGATGCCATGAATTAAACAATCTCTTCACAAGCTATTGATTAGATGTATAGTGATTTCTAATAACATGACATTGTACTGTTTTATAGGATGAGATTAACAAGTAACGGAAATTGAAACTTTAATTTTTTCCATGGTAAGCCAGGTGACTGCTTACTACATCTTAATATGTCCTTTGTATTAAGCTTTTCACCATCATTGTGATATTTCTGCTGATAATCTGGTGAACAAGAGTGCTGTTTGCAGGTGAACCACCTCAACTTACAGATAATCCAGTGGAGAATTCTAATTTTAATTACTCCAATACAAAAGTTAAGTCAACAACAACAAAATTTACATTGTTTTAGTTGAGAGCAGTAAAAAACTCAGATATTCCTAGGTGAAGATACATGAACCAGTTTCCACTTATCTGGCCAACAACTGTCCCTAGATGTCTATTTTAACAAGGTTTTTACTGTATGTCATTGAGTTTTAATCATCTCACAAAGTTCACACCTTGTATGTTCACACCTTGTACACATCATCTCACAATGTTCACAACTTGAGATCATGTTGCAAATAAAACAATATAAAAAACTAAAAATTCCTAATCCATTGGCACACTCACTGTTTATCCTTCTAAATAATTACAAGTTAATTAATACTTAGGCAAATATATTGCTTTTCCATCAAGAAAATTGTGTATGATGTGGACTTCAATATTACTTGTACGGTCGTTCTCCAGTATGAGAACGCATATGATCCAGAAAAGCTGCTCGTTGTTTCACTTTGGCACCACATACTGGACACACATGATTGTTATATTCACCTCTATGGCGCATACTTATATGCACACGTAAGTTGTTGGCACGGTATGTGGAAAAGCCACACTGGAATACAAGAAATGATTTACACACAATTAACAAATTATAAAAGTATAAAAATATACATACAATATAATGGTACACATATTAAATCACCTATCATATTGATGAGTGTGAGGATCCCTAATTGTAAGGTAGTGAAACAAAGAAATTCATGAAACAACTGAGGTGGCGGCGCCAGAGTTGGCGACGGCGGCCGAGGAAGAGAAGGAAGAGGAGGAGGAAGAGAAGGAAGAGGAGAACAGGAAGAGAAGACGAAGATAGGAAGAAGAGAAAGAAGAGGAGGAGGAAGAGAAGATGGAGAGGAGGTGGAAGAAGAAGAAGAAGAAGAAGAAGAAGAAGAAGAAGAAGAAGAAGAAGAAGAAGAAGAAGAAGAGATTACAAAAAAGCATTTATAAAAAATATTTTTTGTATAAACAATAAATTTGTACATCTTTATATCAACACTGATAATTCTTTATTAATGAACAACAACTACTATCAACATTTTTTTTGTATTTTTGTAAGATAAAATATCATGAAAACAGTTGACCTCAGAAAAAATGTTTAGAATCAATTTTGTGGGACTTTTTATCCCTTCAAATCTTGTAATTAGGTTTTTCAACATAAATTGCACAGGAATTGAGATATTTGCAAAAAAACCATTTTTTGAAAGCTTTGACTTCTAATAAATTTGGAACATACATGTTATACTGATTCTAACTTTTCACTCCTATTACAAAATGTCAAGACAAAAGTTGCAGCAAAAATTCCGCTGAAGAGGATTTGTTTCTTCACTAAAGGCTATTTTTACAGGATTATTCAAAGATTTGTTAATCAAATAAATTAATTGATAATATATTTTTTTTCTTACTGTAGCACATATATGCTTGTTGGGACGTTCATGTACACCTTTCACATGTTCATGCAGAGTTGAATCTTTTGTAAAAGCTTTCCCACAATACTGACACTGGTGGCAGCGTTCTCCAGTATGCAGAGTCATGTGTCGCAATTTGTCAACTTTAGTATAAGCACGATAGTTGCAACCATAATCACACGGAAAATCACGCTGACCTCTATGTCGTTTCATATGAACTCCTGAAAAGAGCAACAATTCACATAGATGAGCAATAATTAACTAATACATTAACCAAATTCAATAATCAGATGAGCAATAATATGTTAAAATGTGCCTGGTTTTTACACCAAACATTTAATCTCAAATATCACATTAATTAGGTAAATTATTACAGTTTCGGTAAATATAAAGAAAAAAATAAAATGTACCCAGTACTGGATCATTTTATTAGGGTTCTCAATAATCTTACTGTATTATTATATAAGTGCAAATTTGAGCATTCACAATAAGTTCTGTTCAATATAAAAGTGTTTATACCCTTTATGTACAAAGTAATATACAGTATTAATTTTAGTCTGTAACTTTTAATGAAGATTTAGAAGTCCAGTAATCTGATTTTTACTCCATTCACAACCATGGACTTTGTTGGTTACTCTCATTCAGTAACACATAATTTTGGGTCTTGCACCAAAACATGCTGTATTATAACTGGCACTGATGTATTATATACATTTATTAAAGTTTGCTTTGAGTTAATGCTCTGTGGCAAACATTATTACAATTAGAATTAGAACAATTACAAAACTATTACATTTAACATTTACAATTAAAATTAGTTAGAATTAGTGGATGACATCCTAGTTCTAATTAATTTCTAGTTATTCTAACACTTCACTGCACTCCCCTTCCCCACCCTACACTACACTACACTTCACTGTATAAGGAACATAGCAATAATAAAATTAATAATAATAATAATAATAATAATAATAATAATAATAATAATAATAATAATAATAACATCAACAACAACAACAACAACAACAAGGGGGTTGGGGTTGCTGGGTCCCTACTGGGTGGCTCCTCAAGGTGGCGGATAGGGGAACAGATATGGAGAGAATCAGAAAAATAAAATACCCGGAGTGGACCAAAAGCAGCACCTGGTCTTTGGGTTTGCAGCCCTTCTCCCAGAGATTCTCTATGTTGCAGCGAAGTTTAGAACTAAAGCTTCGGTCTCATCTGGCAACACGGCTCCTCCAGACAACGTAATGTGTCTGTCACTTACCACAATGACTACACAAAACGTACAGAGGGGCATAAAGAACATGGGTCAGGCAACACAACTAAGCAGCCCATCCTCTGCTTCCTTCCTCTCATCCCTACCTTCAAGAGATCTGCCTACAGAAGAGAACACACAGAGAGAAATGAATATAGATATAATGCGTACATTTTATTTTTTTAAATCAATGCAAGACAAACTGCTCCCAGGATATAAGCACCTTTTCCATGCTGAATATAGCAGAAAACATCCAGAGCTACACATGATTGAGCAGAATGTAATTGACAGATGGAAGGCAATTATAAAACATGGCTATTTAACTGAGATAGAATTAGGAAACAATAAAAAGTTGGGTGCCGACTTCACCAGCAAGAAGAAATTGGCAGAGGCACAGAGCCACGGTAACAAGACCTCCAAAATACATACAATGATTCACCCCAGACCTATACACAGGATACACTGATATCAGACATGTTCAACAGCTTAATTGAACATTTTCACGGTACAGAACCAGCTGGCCAACCATTCATCCCTGTCTTAAAGAATATGGCAAAAGCAAAGAAAACAATAAAGAAGATGAATAATATGTTGGAGGAACATGTTAAAAACTTGGATGACTAGACAGAGCTACACCTTGCTATCTATTGTGCAGCAGCTACTGTCATTGAGCTCAATGGTCAAAAGATGTATTACCCAAATAATAGGAGGAACAGACAAACAAGAAATCGCATGTCACCATGGAAAAAACGACTCGTGGGAGAAGTAAATGAACTCAGATCCAAATCTGATATCATATAAGAATGTACACGTAGGCTTCCGCCGCTCGAGTTCATGACTTCTTGGCTGTTCGGGATGTCAGGGTAGTCACTCGTCTGAATATGCCTGCAGAAGCCTGTGATATGACAGGCGAAACATCGGCCTCTCAGCCAATGACACAGCATCACGCGGACAGCCAAGAAGTCATCACAAAAGAATACTTTAACAATAATCAAACCAAGAGAGTAGTTAGGAAATCCTAACTACTCTCTTCCTAGCAACAAAGGCAGGTATAAAATTGAATTGTATACAAAGTACCGGGGATCTTGAATCTTTATTAGACACTTTTAGGCAAAAGCAAAAGAAAGTAGACTCTGCTAATACAATGAACTGACGAAAAGGAAAAAGAAAAATGACGAATTTCACAGAAACCGAAGGAGCTTCTTCAGGCACCTGAAGGAAAATAAGGACAACCAAAGTACAACCCTTACTACAGAAGAAATAACAAAATTTAAAGAATACTGGAGTATGTTACAGTCTGACACGAAGGATTTCAATAAAAATGCATTATGGCTGCCAGAGAGAAATGACAGCATCAAAAATTCCATCAATGAATGCTACAGAGTTCACTACTGACGATATTACAAGTGTCATCAATAAAACCAGCAATAGGAAGACCCCAGGGCCTGACAAAATTCATAATTTCCAGCTGAAATACTTTCCCACTGTCCACAAGCTATTGGCTGAATGTTACACCACAGCCCTTGAAAATCCTAATAAAAGGGAACACCTATCTGCAAAAGAAAAAGGGAGACTTATTACAACCACAAAACCATCGACCAATTACCTGCCTAAAGACTGTTTACAAGCTTTTCACATTGCTAATCAGCAACAAGATATATGAACACTGCAAGAACTATTACATCTTCGAAGAGGAGCAAAAGGGTTGCATTAAAAGATCAATGGGTTGTAAACATCAGCTGACAATGGATGAAGTTACCTTGAAACAAGTTCAAAAAGTTCAACACAATCTGCATATCTGCTACATAGATCACCAAAAGGCATTTGATTCAATCTCGCACAGTTGGTTGCATAAGGTTCCTGAGATACAGGGTGTACATCCAAAAATCAAACAGACGCATGATTGCATTGATGGCAAAAAGGAGAACGAACATATGGATGAGTTTGGAAAATATAGGAGTGGTTCATATTAAAATTGGAATGTTCCCAGGAGATTCACTGTCACTGTTATGGTTTTGCCTAGCAATAAACCCTATCTCCAAAGTTCTTAATAACAGCAAAATTGGATACAAATTAATAAAAGAAACAACTTACGCTTGTCTCACTTGTATGTTGATGTCCTCAAACTCTATACAGAGAGCAGAGACAAATTACACAGTCCAATTGAGACAGTGAAAGGGCTCAGTGAAGATATAAAGATTTCTTTTGGACTAAACAAATGTGCCATTATAGACTTAAAAAAGGGCATTATCGAAAGCCACAATGAACAAATTAGAGACGTCAAGGAAATTCCACCCGATGAAGTTTGCAAATATTTAGGTATGGCCCAAAGCTACCGTATGTATCATTCCAGCATGAGGAAAGCTTTGACCATTAAGTATAGATCTACAGTTACAGAAGTTCTGAATACTAAATTAAATGAGAAAACAAATTATACATTATTTGGGAATTCTCAAATGGTTGTGTGCAAATATTGAATTAAATAGATTGACTAGAAGGCTGATTACTAAATTCAGGTGTCTTTATACAAACTTGACTATTAAAAGACTAATTCTACCCCAAAGAAAAGGTGAGATGGGACTGCTACACATTTAAAATCTCTGCAGAAACTGAGAAAGAAAAATGAAGCAAAAGCTACTCTCGTGTGAAGATGCCTCAATGAAAATAGTTGTACAAGCAGATGATGGTTATACTCCACTAAACTTGAGTACCTTTAACACAGGAACAGCAGCAACTGCAGCAGGAACACCAAAAGAGACAATTCAAAGAGATCTAGAAGATTGGCCACAAAAGGCAATGCATGGCAAATTTCCTAAAGCTATCCATCAACCTCATGTTGAAACACAAGTCATCACTGCAATGGCTATCAGTCAGCTGTTTATACTCAGAAACAGAGGGATTTATAATGGCAATTCAAGATAGAGTATGCCAAACTAGGAACTACGAGAAATATTGCATGAACATGCCCATGGTTGACATATGCAGGAAATGCGGCACCAGAGGTGAAACAACTGAGCATAATGACTGGATGTATTGCACTTGCCGACAGCATGTACTTGGGGAGAGACAACCAACTAGCTAAGATTGTCCATCAACAATTGGCTCTCATGCATGGAACGTTAAATAGTGAAGCTCCTCCATATTATAAATACAACTCAGCACCTGTTACGGAAGCAAATAATACCATCATTTACTGGGACAAACACATAAATAACAGATAAAATGTGGCCTTCAATAGACCAGATATAGTTTTGATTGTCAGGGACAAGAAAGAAGCTACGCTTCTTGATATTCCTGTACCGCTGACACACAACTTAAAGAAAACAGAGGCAGAGAAAATTACTAAGCATGAAGCTCTTGCTCTGAAAATAAAACAAATGTGGACACTACAGAGTGTTACAATATATCCACTTGCTATTTCAGCTGAGTGTGTAGTAATGAACAATTTCAAGAAAAACAAAAAAAGAGGGATTACCACAACGAATTCTAGATTACGGACAGAAAGCAGTAATCCTACAAACAAGTTATATAGTTCGCAAGTTCTTGAACAAATGAGGCTCCCATATTGGACTTGGAGGTCAAAGTGAAATCTCTCTCCCCAGTGACCGATCTCTTTCCTTAATGTGACAGGATTGAGCAAATTGAATCCAGCACAAGCTGCTGAGAAATAATAATAATAATAATAATAATAATAATGATAATATTAATAATAACAATAATAATAATATTAATAATAACAATAATAATAATATTAATAATAACAATAATAATAACAATAATTCTACATTGTATTTTCCAAGGATGGGCTCCTCTGCTTTTATAATCTGGTTTCTGTAGTCTTCCACCGAAACCCTTTGTATGTCTTGTACATAACACATTAATGCACCCATTCCCTTCTCTTAGATTTTTTTTCTCAGGAGCATTTCTTGGTGTGTTCTGGAGGAATCAAAAAAAAAGTCTTTGACCAAAAGAAGTCTAACTGTGAGTGACAGACAGAAGCAGGGAGCTCAATTACTACACAAGGATATTATGCATACTCTCAATTAACTATTAACCAAAAATCAACCGATCTGGTTTGCACCAAACCATTCCTTCTGATTCATCTAGCATGTTTTAACTAATTTTAACTCAAAAACTTACTTAAGGCAGATGCTTGAGGGAAGGTCTTTCCACAGTCTTGGCACCTGTGAGGACGTAAGCCTACATGCTTACGCATATGACTTCGAAACAAAATTTGGTTGCAAGTCTGGAAAGAACACTCATTACAATGTAAAATTTCTTCCTCTTTTGATTTCTCCTTGCTATTATTAGTAAAAGTTTTTATTTCTTCATTTGCCTTCCTAAATTTCACATTTTGTTTCCTGTCAGTGTTGCTAGCGTTGGGTTCCAATACACCTGCATCATTACTTTCTTCAGTGCTTTCAGGACCATCTGGTTAAAAAAAAAATCACAAAAACTTTCATGTATTTTTGTAAGTATTCCTTGAATCTTTGTGTAACCTACTACTGTAAGAATATTGGAAGTCGAGATCATTGCCTTGTCCTCTGAGACACAAGTGCATTGATTACATAGCGAATCTGGGCTCAGCACTAACCGAAGAGCCCACCACTCAACCAAAGCCCACAGCATTTTTTTTATTTGTGCACAGAAATGAGAGTCATAAAGCAAGCTTTTCGCCTACAAAAATTCAATGCGACATGCAAACCAAATGACAGCTTCAGTCTACACAAAAAATGTGTATTCAAGTCTAGAAAGAAATATAAATAAATTTTAAGAACAAATATCTAAAAGGACAGTTACATCATGAAAGACGTAAAAAGCAAAATAAAAATTCATAGGAATGTTTAATTTTACATAATTCATATGCATATATGAATGGTCTTTAAATATGTTCATAAGAATAAAATAGGCATTTTCCTAAACATCTGATGTCTAGTACGAACAAATTAGTTGTGAATTATTTACAAAATTTCAGATAAATGTACAAGTTAACCACCATAATTTAATTCTAAAGCTATTATCCATATTGTATGTTCAATAATTAAAAACAATAAATCTGTCATAGTCATTGATTCCCAAAAAATTTAATTATTTATTTATATTGGAAGCAGCTGAAGCTGATTCTCACACATCAAAATACCACATATCAATTACATTAAAAAAGAAAAAGTAAGTGCCAAGGTGATCCCTGAGTAAAGTAAGGAGTGCTGTATATACAACTTGGAAGATACCTGTTCAGATACCACCAAGATTTAGTTTGGCTAGATGCAATTTCTTCAGTATGAAAAGTAGCATTTTGATCGGCATAAATGTCTTTCCCCGATTTAACAAAGAGTGTTTTGTTGTGTGTTCTGGTATTTTTTTAGTAAATACTCTTCTCTAGTTAACCATTTGAGATGTAAATTTTGAGTAGTTTTGAAGACTATTGTAGTATGTATAGAATCACCGACGTTTAGTAGTCTTTCTCTGGTAGTTGCTATGTTAGTTAAGTCAATTTCAAAATCACAAAAGCGGCTTTTGCTAGATTAGCAAGTTCTAATTACAATATTATAGATCTAATCGCATTGCTAACTTTCCAGTTTATCAAAAACTCAAGTGTTTGATATGGATTTACAATGAAGTGTACAATCTGATAAAGGTTTAAAGTCAAAGTAGTATGTTTTTACAATTTCACTGTTGGTGCCCGCAGTCCAGTAAGGAGTGACGTAAACACCTGTTTGGGGATGAAGACTGAAAGTGCAAAATGTGCTTTGTTCATTGTCATCGGAGAGTCCAATTACGCCTTGTGAGTCTGTGTTGGAGTCTATTGACCATATGACCTGCTCTGAATCTGATCACTTTGTAGGGGAGAAAGGTTTTGCCTGATTTGTGACACCTGCAAAGACATATTCTTGTGGTTTACGAATACTGTAGAGTTGCTCAAAGATTTGAGGAGGAATATCAATAGATCTATTGTTGATGATATGATTTTCTTGATTGTGTTCTTGTTGAGTAATGGAATGAATTTCATTTTCAATGTTATAAATATGATATAGTATTCGCCAAGCGAAGTCAGGAAATCAAATTAATTGAAATAATATTAATTGGGCAGGCGGGAAAGGAAGAAAGGAAGGAAGGAAGGAAGGGAAGGGAAGGAAGGGAAGGGAAGGGAAGGGAAGGGAAGGGAA